CGATCGATTGAGTTCGCTCAGTGTTTGTCTGGTCATGGGGTTCATCTCCTTGATAGAGTACTACTTTATGTATGTATGGGAAGGCTGTTATGCCTCACCCCTCTGTGGAAGGAACTATGCTTCAAATCTCTCGAGTCTCGCTCCCGTGGTGTAATGTCGGCTGGGGAAGTTCGGCGTAGCCATATAGGCGCTTCGGCGAGTACCTCAAAAGGAGCGCCGTCCGAGTCGGGTGGGGGATACACGAACGATCTACAGTATATGTACGGGGCGATCCAGACCGAGTAGCAATATATTGCATCCCTCAATCTGGGACCCTTCTTTTGAATCAGACCAAGAGAGAAGATCCAAGAGCCTCGGTTTTAGGGATTTGGTCACGCCGGGGTTTGGTTGCGTCGGGGCTTGTGGCGCACTATAGACAGCGGATGGCGATGCTTGCAAAGACAAGCCCTCCATGGCTACATGGCTACATGGCTAATGTTCGGCACCAGATTATCAATAGTCCAAACTGGCTAGTACTTGGCGATATTCCATCCAGAGGTAAAAGCCGGTGATCCTTTCACAAAACGGCCAATAGGGCTGGGATAGGTAGACGCGGAAGCGACGGAAAACATGGTTGTCCAATCGGGCTCTGACTCGGCGACAGGGATAGATCAGGTACACGGAGATCCTGATATCAAATGCATTGAAAGGAATGCTTTGCACTCGGTGTTCGATCCGAAAGAGCATTTCTTCTCATTGAAATACTCTAGCACATCTACGACATTCACGCTTCCCCTCGTTGACGGTCCCACTTCCACATGTTGATCACTTAGTGAGACCAGTTATTGAGACATTGGGATGTCTTCAAACCCCGACATCAATAATCCCCTCCACTAGCCAATATTCAACTATCTCAAAGATCTCACTAAGGGGCACATTGGCTCTGGCTGTACATTATCTCGCGAATGACTTACTCTCCCCCTCTGACTTCGACCTAAAATGATATCAGACACGATCGGCACGTTCATGTCCCAGAACCGGATAGCCGGATAGCCGCATTGGCCTTTGGGTTACCAATGCGCTGCAGAGAATTCAGGAACAGGAAGGCAAAGAAGATTCAATAGCTACATGTAACATGGAGAATCTCGATGTGTTCCCCCTGAGCCAGAAGGATATCAGATCCCGATCATGCATTACATCAGCGCGTGGTATCAAGGTCTAACTCGATCAGGGAGCATCATTCTAGCCATTGGCTTCTGGGGCGTAGAAGCGGGATAGAAAAATCGAGATATGGGCCGCAGTGGAACGCGCAAAAGGAGTGACGAAATGATCGGGGCCACTTCAGGTGGAGTGGGGGTCGGGCTTTGCGACCCTCACCGAGGTCCACTGTGGAAGCTCGTGGGCGTTAGATTTACACACAAGGAAGTGGTGTGAGGCGGTTATCTGGATAACTGTGAATCTCTGGATGTGATACCCTGCGGCATCACATCTAGACTATTTGTTTTGGAACCAGAGAAAGGACAAAGTGAAACGATTGCCTTGTTTTTAGGCTACTTTACTGTACATGTAAATGTATTGTATTTCCCCCTGAATCCTTGAGGCATGAGGAACAACAAGGATTGTATGAACTTACTTCTGGGCTTACATTGTACATGCACCGTGCAAAAGCATGGTTACACAGCCTCTATGCTCATAGACAGCATTCTCATGTTCCAATGCTATAGCACAGTCAACCTTCCTCTTGAGGTTGGGATCTCCCTACAGGGTTGAAAATATGAAAGTTTCACAAAATCACTAGTTTAGCTGATCGTAGACGTTTGTGGTTCGGGCAGTTTCCTCTGCCAAGAGATCTTAATCTTACGAGCGCCATCCTCAACCAATCACGGTATACGGACTTTGACAAATACTTGAGAGGGCCAAACGACGGGGCCAATGTGAAGCTCCGATCGAGCGGTCACGGGTCCACAATCAACCCTAACTTAGAAACTATCAGTTCTAAGTCAGTTCTCAGTATGATCTACAGAGGGCTAAAACTTGAACTCGGGACAAAGGTCCACTCCCCTCGTGCTGGGGCCTGAATCTGATCGTAACTGTGGTTCGGTTTACTTAAAAGCGTCCCTGACCCAAGGAATGGGACTAGTAAGCGCTATCCAACTTCACTCACATTCCTTAAGCACTCAAAGCCATTATGGGGTCCGAACTCGGTGTCACTGCCGACTCCAAGGCTGATATCGATCTCAGCCCTGTCACCATCTGGTGGGCTGTCTGGGCATGCGTCTGGACCATCGCCGTGGTCCTCGGCATGGCCTATCTCATCGTCCATCGCAACATGCCTACTCTCCGAATTCGAGGCCTCGGTCTGTCGTTATCTGCAATCGTTCTTCTTCATCTATACTGGGCACCGGTCCAATTCGCAACTATGGTCGGCCCTCTGCTGCCAGGAGACTGCCAGTACTGGATGATGGGCACCCTGCTGCCCTGTGGTGTCGCCTTATTCCACGCCTCCAATGCTCGGTTCCTGCACGTCGCCAAACTCCAAAGGAAATACGCTCAATACGGCGAGCGCCTTTTCATATCCCCCACCCCCGAAGAGAAGCCTAAGGGCCTGATCGCCCGCTTCCACCGTCTTAGCTATTCCACCAAAATGCTTACTATTGTTGGCATCGGAATGTTCCTTCAGATCTTCCTCACTATCCTTATGTGGCTCATTTCCCGCAAGTGGCACAGCTCCTGGGGAATTCCTGGCACCGAGGTCCACGGAACTATCATGGAACAGAAGATGGCACAGGGCGCGGGATGGGAATGGTGGCCTGGAGTGGCCTGGCAATTGGCCTGGTCCTGGATCGTCGCCCCTATCGTTCTCTGGAAGTCTCGCAACATCCACGACACCCACGGCTGGCGAGTCCAGACTATCGGCTGCGCTATCGCCAACCTCCACGCCACCCCGATGTGGCTCATCGGTCTCTATGTTCCTGCTATGGCCCCGGTCAACACTGTCTTTGTTCCACCCCAGTGGATCTGTCTTTCTATTATGTTTATCGAAATCTTTACCGTCTTCCTGCCCTGCTGGGAGGTGATGCGTCACCAGTCCCTCCGTCAAGAGACTCTCGACTCAATCGCGCGCTGGGAGTTGAAGGTCAAGTCTACGGGTTCCGAGGCCAAGTCCCTCAATTCCGAGAGCACCATGGTCGACTCCAGAATTTCCGGCTGGAAGTCCGCCAACGGGTCCGTCAAGACCGAGAACAGCTACCGCGACAGCATCATGACAATGAGCGCCCTCGAGCACGTCCTCGAGCGCAACCCCGCCCCTCTCCAGGAATTCTCTGCCCTCCGCGAATTCTCCGGCGAGAACATCGTCTTCCTCACCAGCCTCGCCGAGTGGAAGAACTCGCTGCCCGCAACTCTGCGTGACCGCACCCTCCCCCGTGACAGTAACAGCAGAGATGTGATCCGCGACCACTTCAACCGCGCCCTGCACATTTATGCCGAATTCATCAGCGTCCGCCACGCCGAGTTCCCCGTGAACATCTCGTCCCAGGAACTGCGCAAGCTCGAAAGCATCTTCGAGCACCCCACACGTCTCATCTACGGCGAGGAGCGCGAGTGCGTCGACCCCACCAGCCCCTTCGACAAATTCACCTTCGACCTGCCATCGCCCACTCACTCGGATAGCTCTGAGAAGCCGATGAAGTCCTCGACCAAGAGCTCCTTGACCGATGCTATCAAGGATCGCGTGCAGTACTGGGGTGACATCCCGGCGGATTTCGATGCTTCTATCTTCGATGCTGCCGAGGCGTCTATCAAGTACCTCGTGCTCACCAACACGTGGCCCAAGTTCATCAAGGATCGCAGGGATTCGGTTGGGTCCTTTGATACTTTGGCCGTCAGTATGGAGGTTTAATTTGCTTCGTGGCATATGAAATGAGTATGGCTCGTTGGAGGGTGGGAGCTAGGCTTGTGTATAAATTACTCGGCTCTTGGCTCCAATGGAGAATTTCCAACTACGGATTATTGACAGACTGTACATATACTATTGGTCATTTGGATGGATGTAATGGATTAACTTAATTACGCTGGATACCCTCACAATCTATTTTCTTATTAACTATTGCCATTAACTTCGATGTCATGAATGCCGTAGGTGTGGGGGATGTATATGTACGTGTTAGTGAAGGATTATTCTTGTGTTCTTTGATATATTGCATCCAACTCTCAAAGGAAAGGGTTCTTTGTGCATGTGGGATTAACGTTATACATGAACAATGATCGATCAATATTCTAGCAAATTGATGTAATCTATCCAAGCATAGAATTGATAGATAATCCAGATACTATTTAAAGGCACTCTAGCTGGGAATCGAGGCTATGTACAAAAAAAGCAGCCGGGTTATATTAAAACCCACGCGCAAGTAAGACTTGCAAAAGCGCGCAGTGCACCTTTGCATTCCGTCAGTTGTGTCTCACTTGATCTTTCACCCACTGCGTCGCTGATATCTTCGATGTCCCATTGTCTGTTCGGCCCCGGTCTATGTCTTTGTTGTGCTAGACGCAGGGGCGGCACCTTAGGGGACTAAAGCCAAGTCTCTCGTCGTCCGCTTGGTGTAGTGGCTGATACTTATCGTCTTCCACCCGTGTTCCCCTGCCTGTGCATCCTATCGGACTATGGTTCTCTTTGCATAGAAACCGGCATGAAACTTGAGGCCGAATACCAAATATAGAAGGTCTTCATCCAATAAGCTCATGATGGCGGGACTTGCAGGCAACCAAATAGACTTATAATTCTCAAAGGTATACACTGTAGCCGTATGTAGCCAAAGCCAATATCAGGCCTGGGAACTCCCAAGTAGGCAGGTACCACCATCGCACCTTCCCCAGGACATCCCAACTTATGGACGCGTATTTGTTGTTTTCTTTCCACTTCTTTTCTTCTTCTTTTCTTCTCTTCTTCTCCTGTTCACCTCCCTTCCCCTATTTCTGGTCCCTAGCGTCTCTTCCATTCTTCGTTGATGCCTTCCAGCGCCATGTCGCCCAAGATCATTGGCAACTCCGCTCCTTGGAAGCAGGTCAGCGATGCTCGCACCAGTGAGCTTAACCTCATGCAGGAGAGCTCCTATGAGACTGCCATCATTTGGGCTAGAGTGACAGGTGAGAAGACTTTGGACGACAGCATTCATGCTACCGCCAAATCCCAGTTACAGGCCCAGATGAGGTGGAAAGAGACTTATCAGTCCTACATTTCCCCTCTAGCTTCCGCGTCTCGCACCGAGGTGATTCATCATTCTGTTGTCTCTGGCAACAAGGTATGTTTCTGACCATATTTGCTCCTATGCCCACCTTACCTCTTCACACCCTTCCCTTCCCTTCCCTTGCCCTCTAACCGCTGGCCCCATAAGTGCATGTCTTATGTTGATATTCACAGACCGAACCTCGCGCTGCTTCTGTGCTCGCCACTGCCCGTTACTCTGATGAAGCTGGAGCTGTCGACGCTGACACCACCGAGAACCCCGGACATGATGAAGAGCCTGGCAAGACTGATAAGACCAGCACCGATGGCAACACTCATGGGGATGAGGGCTTCCGCCCTCCCGCGTCTGCCAAGGAGTTCATGAGTTCTTTTCGAGCCTTGCGACTGGCCAATGCCGCTGTTGTTGCTGCCGCCGCTGCCGAGCCTAGCCCCCCTCGCCGCTTGCTTTTCAAGAACCTTCCCAAGTGGGTGACAGTATCCCACGTTCTGCACCTAGTTTACGGTGGTGTCATCGAGCGGGCCTGGAGTGAGACCTCTGGCGAGGTCAATGTGCAGTTTACCGATGCCAATGACTGCAACAGATATCTCGAAATGCGTCCCGAGGGTATCCCCCTCAAAGTCGGCGACGATGTGATCAACATTTCCATTGAGCTGATGGACAATGACAACGAACATCCTGAGCTTGCACGCCGCCTCAGAGCTGATGCTTCGCGCGTCGTGTGCCTTTCTGGTCTGCCAACCTCGCTGATGGGCAAGAACGACGAGAACATTCTGGGTATTGCTTCTCAGTCCAACTGGGAGAGCAAGGCGCTTGAGCAGGTTCTGATCACGAATGGCGAAGAAGTAAGTCTACCGCCCAGCGTTGACTCTGTTGATGTTGAAGCGCCCACTGACTTATTGAAGGGAACCCTCGATATCCATGTCTCTTTCTTCAGCCTGCACGATGGCTGGGACTTTTATCAAGACATCAAGGAAGGCACTTACGATTGCATTTCCAAGTTTGAGGCTGACCCGTAAGTTGCCTGATTTCTCGCGTTGTTACCTCTAAAGTGACCCATTTGCTAAACAGTTGAATGATTAGTTGTGCTCTGGCGCAAGAGTTTCACTTCTTCGATGTGAGAAACCCGATGTTCCGAGCACTCGCCGCCGTCATGTCTGAGTAGGCTGAGAATAACCATCAACCGAGAACGATTCGACAGCTACTGCTTCGACAGCACCATGCTGGTATGTCGGCCATATTGTCCAGACATCAGCGCTATCCAACTTCAAATATTGCAGGGGGTGATATTCTGTTTTTACTTTTGCTTTGCAGGGGAATTCCATTTAGGTTTGCCTTTTGTCAACACCCCGATATCACAAGTTTTCCAATGGAATATCACTTCAAACGTTACTTCAACCTGTAACTCCTACTCTTGCCCTTGCCCTAAGGACTCAGCCCTCCATAGACCCCTTCCGCCGGTCTGTATCAGCTGACATGAATAGGAAAATCTCCACTCCCAATCCACTGCCGATCCCAAGATCAAAATCCACCTCGTGGTCTACGTATGAAGGCACCACAGCAGCCAGTAGAAGAAAAAGCCGCAACCAACAGCGCCAAACCACAGCAATTAATGTTACCGGCCCCAACGCCGCGTCACCCCCCAACCTACCAGGCGCCTTGAACACCAAATCCGGAGAATGCAGCAATAGCCGGGACTTCTCCATTCAAGGAAGGTGGTCAAGGATAAACGACAAACCAAGCACGTAAAAGAGGAAGAGTAGCTTGGCAAGGTTTAGATGACGCCCCAAATTTCTCCGATCAACCCCTGTCAAGCCAACCAACCTCAAGGCATTCCATGCCCTGCATACTTAGGGTTTGGCATTGACACAAAACAGGAAAGAGAAGTGACTTCGCCACGTGGTGATTTGTCTCTTTTCTTGGTGTGCATTTGATGGGAGGTTGGGGGAAGGGATATGATGCGGGGTAAGGATGCAAATGAAGTCATCTTGGTCGTTTTGGGGATTGTGCAGGGTCGGGTAGTTTCGGTTGTTTTGTTTTGTTGGGTTCCGAATGGAAGACATACTATCCCAAATTAAGTGAAACGTGGGCTGTGACGATGTTGGATGTTGGATACTGGATGTTGGTCATGTGTGTTTGGGGATATACAAGAGGTCGGTGAACGTCGACCTGATATCTAAACTAAATGAATAACCTGCAAGAATACAGATTCGGGCATGCAACATTGCTCATTGTATTCCCACAGTAGAATCCCCGAGATCTAATTTGGGTAGCTGCTTTGTATAGCCTAGCACCATGTACGTACGAAAGGACGATACTACGTAAGAACCATCACGACAATATCCCGCATTTTCCCAACATCATGTCGAATCAGTCTAGTTGCATACCCTGAAACAGTTTGCTCTGCAGGCATCCTGCTGGAGATCGACCCTATAGCGGTGGTTAACTTGACGCTATATTGCTACTACTGCACTGCGGTATGCTCGGCGATCTGGCAGCAACCAATCTGATATTCACATTCACATTCGAATAACGGGCTCTATGCAACTGTAGAATGTACAATACCGTACATATTCCATATTCTCGGGTTTTGATAGCCACAGTATTTCTTTATTACAGCTACGAATGTCTAGTGCAAGGCTATATACCACTAGATGCTACAGTGTGCGTCAAGGCGTCCAAGACATGGCTACCCACACCGTATCTGCACAAAGGACCCACTACCCCACTTAGGATAGTTTGACAGAGCGAGGATCGGAATAGAAGGTTGAGGTCATGGATACGGGAAATTGGGATGATCACACGCGATCATCCACTCCTTCCTGACCGGTATTCACCAACATACTGTAGTAAGAACGGAAAAGCATATGCAGCAAATAATGTTCCCATGAAGAAAATCATTCCCCCTTATCATGTCTCCGTGTTCTCCGTTGCTCCACTTGGTCCGGCTACCCTGAAGTGGGTTTAATCCATGGTTGACCTTCTATTTGGAATCAAATAACTTGACGCTGATTGGAGGTTACAAGCGAGGAGATTCAGAGGTCTATAGGTGAGGCTCTGCAGACGCGCTTGTATTTTTGGAATCGTGACAATACATACGTGTATTGAAACCTTGTAATTTTAATTTTTTTCCCTTGCTTACGGATACTCTGACTCGGATCCTTCAGCCACTTTCACCCTCGGACTTAGGGCTGTGGTATATACTTCCTAGATTCGGCGAACTGAACTGATGCAACGGTCTGACTCGCGAACTACTCCTGGCCGACGTCACCTTCCCATTACGCGAGCCATCCTGTTTATCCAGGCCTGTGTGCTCTCTCAATTAGAAGACCGGTATGCCGGATGAGTGGCCAAACTGAGTCGAGATGTGCGGGCTGTCGTCAGACGTGGTCGGGCTCCAAGTCAATCCGAGCTAAGAGCGGTCACGAATATCACCGAACAAAGAAATGCGCAGCTTTTCAACCTATGAATTCGAATAAAGCTAGGATAGAGCGGATCCAGAGAATCAAGAGCCGATAGTAGAAAATCATATACTCCATAACCTGAAGAATGCCAAGACCCTATACGATAGTGCCGGTTTTATACTTTTGGCAGCAAAGTGAAAAAAGAACACCTGCCGAAATAGGTGAAAAGCGGATCAGATTATCATTCGACTGAAACTGAAATTGTTCAATGTCTCTGAGTTTCAGGGCTTAGACTTCGGGGCTTCTAATTCCAAGGCCAAACTTCGGAGATATTCTCTCCCGTGAAGAAAAGAACATCCGAAACACTTACTGACTAGGCATAGCCCTGGAGTGTCAGACCCGTCAAAGTCCGCGTGAATACGACCTCTAGCTCCGAAATCCTACACACCATTCTCTCAGAGGCTGGCCACTCACACGTCTGACATTGAGATTTATGTTTGGACATCCAAGACAGGACTCACCAGTCATCGGCCGAAGCGAAACACCATAACAATGAGATAGTCCACGTTACAAGGCCCGATCCCGGGCGAAGGACCCAAGGCTCTGGCTTCGGTGTGATGACGGAGCACTAGTCCTTGCCTCTGTCGTCAATGCCCAGGGTTTGATTGGTTTAGAACGGAGGGATGAAGGAATGTGCACGTGTGGGCATTGACCTGATCGCTCTGCTCACCGATAGTTATGAGATATCCTAGTGGAGGAGAGGTGAGAACGATGGTGTACGTCAATATGAGATATGAGATCAACTAGGTGTACCATGCATCTCATGATCATGATTATCACCAGCCCGGTCGCTAATGATCATCAACGTACAGAATGTAGCCGTGGACTATGTAGCATGAGAGTGCTGTAGCAATCCAGGGATGATAGCTGTTTCTGCCCTTTTTTCGCCCCCTTCTCATCGCTTCTGACGAATCAGAATTCTCTCTCCGGTCCTTGTCCTGTTGGTTCTTGGTCTTTTCTTTTCGATGGAATTTCCATGTCACATCCCACTGCCCACACAATACATCCTGCAATCCTCCAGCCCCAGCCCAACCCCCAACCTTGCAGTGCAAATCCTTCATGTCGCATAATCAAAGTTGCAAATCTAAGTACTTTGTCGGTGTGGCGACATCCATAGTTCCACTTTTCACTCTCACCTCTCACCCATACATCATACCTTGTACCTACCGATCGCCTGCCGTGTAACCGGATCCTTCCATAAAGTTAAGTTACACCGTATGCACATGTACATGTTGTGTTCGTGTAGTATTAGTCAAGCGCTCTGTCGCCCTACTTCATGTATAGCGTATAGTCGAACAATTTCACTTACACTGCCCTGCATATAGTGATCCACTATTTTTTTGGAGACTGGATCTGGTAGTGTTTATACGCTGTGGCCTATCACATCGGTGTATACAGTAACCGGGCAGTTAGTGGGTCTTCTTTTAATGAAATTAAGGTCACCGGTATATAAGTAGGTAATGGGTAATGGGGTTAAGACCCCGGGGCTATGTACTGCACGGACCTAGTAAGCCGGGCAGATCAGGTTCGGCGAGGTGAAGCTGAACAGGTATCTGCAGGCTAACTTATGTGATATCTTCAATGTTGATGTGTATGTTAAAGTAAATGTAAACGCTATGCGACGATCTATTCAGATATATTGTCTCTCGAGAGGTACGAAACAAGCAAAGTAAAGCTAGACCTACGAGACTGAACGATCGACCAAGTCAGAAAATAAGCAAGCTTCGGCAGTAAAGCGTAATCGTCACGAAAACCACGTGTCCCTAGTGCGAAGAGGCCCCTGCTAGAACGGCGCATCTGCGTGGCTAAATGATCTAGCGGCTCTGATGAGCCGACATAGCGTCAGCCACCCTTCAAGTCTAACCCGGCTGGAAGGTAATCCGCGAGAGCAGGATGACAAATCCGCATCTTTTGCTCCAGGACGACCTGATCTCTATCGATCACGAGCCGAGTCGTGAAGATGATCCGCAAGGACATATAGTAAATAGGCGTCCACAAGTGGGGTAGGACTCGGAGTGAAATCATCCAGGAACGGAGTACGGAGTTTGGAGTGCGCTGTCCAAACGGAGTACTCTGTACTTTCATACTTCATGGCCTGATTCGTATTTTATGTATTGTATTTACCAGCTGTATCTCCGTATCCAGCCCTGCCAGTCATTGTAATGTAGGCGTGTAAAGATGTATTCATATGACAATACCAATATAACGGACTTCCAATTCTCATTCGCTGCTTCGCTTATCATTTCTTTGTTCTGTCTCGATTCCAGAACTGCGCCAGAACACCGAGACTCTCTCATTTATTGCCCGATTGAGCCTACAGTAATCCTCAAGGTCACATCTCCTTCAACGTCACAGCCCTAGGCTGAATCCAGGAAAAGCACTGAGCGCGCTAGTAGATATTGTAAATTGGGCTCTGCTTGGCAGCGACGCCTGTTATATTCCCAGTCGTTGTGAGGTCATCTCGGCCTCGGCTATATACAGTACATGCATGTTCTCTGCCGCCGTTGGGCCACTCCCCCCTACCCTCGGTTTATTGCAGCGCGCAAAACCATGTACATCAAACTAGGAGGAGGAGAAGAAGAAGAAGAAGTAGTAAGTTACTCCGTATTGTGAAGTGCACGGCCAATCACGATAAGGATATACCCCAAGACTCGTGTAGAACATCGATGGCGTGGGGTCCAAGAAGCGGAGCCGGGCTACGTGTGTCTTTGGATATCACCGCGCTAGTCACAACGTATGCGCAGCAGAGTGCTTGCTACTAATGTAAGTGTCGTGTCTAGTGCGGATAATTTCTGCACGATTATCACCATGCGGCTGAAACATACATCTCGAGGCGGGAAGGGGGTTTATTTTCTCTCTGCTCGTAATTCCAAGGGTATGTATATGGATTGGAGTCGGATCCGACGATCGGAGATTGACTCGGCGGAGGCAACGAGAGAGAGGGGGCTTTTCTTTGTTCCTCTCACTTTTTATCCCGATAGAGGAATAGCTTGAAGGATTACCAAGATACCAAGAAAAGGAAAGATTCTTCTTTTGTTCTGAACTTACGATGTGTGCAAACGTGTGCACGTTGGCGCTGGGCTTTGCGCCTCCCAACAGCCAACAGCCAACGGCTAACTCCCCAGGGCGAGGACTGTTACATTTTGCATGCAGATGTATACTGTCAGGTGCTCAATGCAGCAATAGAGGTATTCCAAATACATCATGCCACGATCTGACAGTTCGGCGCAGTTCGGGGGATCGACTCCGATCCAAGGTTAAGACACATCCTGAGCCTCAATTGGAGATCCATGGTTCAATGACTTGACTCTCATACATGATTCCGTTGTTCTTTTGCCTAGTTGGTCTCTGATCTCCGTGGGGGTCCCCTGTTCGGCCTTTGCCCTGCGTGTGTCTACCTAAAGTCCTGGAATAGTCAATTATTAGACGGAAAATTTCCGTTTCTAATGCGGGTACAGAATGAAGTCTAGAATGTTCAGATGTTTTGTATGTGCATCTTCGGACCCCCCGAGATTAATAATTATTACGTGCTCGGTTGGCGGCTATCGCTAACGCCTAGCACCAGGACAAAGCGTTGTGGCTCCATTACAGAGATTTGAAATCTAACCCTGACTGACAGTCAAAACCACGAATTTCGACACATCCGATCTGCAAACAAAGAAAAAGAAAAAGAGATAAAATTATTAAGAAATCAATTGAGCAGTATAGCATCAATTATGGACCAATTTATCATTTTTTGTCTTTATTGGAATTTAATTTTGGCTAGGAGCTAAGTATGCACAGCATGACTCGTAAAATTGTCTAGGGTTTGAATACATTGACATGCACCGTGAAATCACAACAGCTATCTTTTCAGAAAAGAAATCTCACTTTGGTTCAAGCGGGTCAGGTACTTTGGTACTTTTGATTAGTTCATTAACCACAGACTGTTCTACGGAGTCCGTACTATCGACTATATTATCCGACATCCGGCTAAGGCCTCACGTGATGGTCCTTGTCTGCGGCTACGCGACTGACGAACCCCAACCCTCTCCATGATTGGATCTGGTGGAGCGGAAACAAAGAGGAGCGGGGGGAGCAGGCTGGTTTAGCCCCGTGTTGATCTGATCTGCACGGAATCGGGGCCTTCAGGGACCTGTAAGGTCTGTTCAGCGCCTGAGTGGGAGGCTTGCCAGGGATTTCGGAAGCCACGGGCCATTCAGCATCGACCGATGACATTCCCCCGTTGGGGTAGGGAGACGGCGCTTGCGCAAGTTGACTGCGCCGCAGATAGGCAGCTGTTTCTGGTTTTGGTTCTGGTTCCGTTACATTTACTGTTTCGGGTTTCGGAATTTTGGCGTTCACATTTCTATTCGCGTTTAATATTGAAGAGAGAGAGAGTGTGTGTGTGCGTGTATACGTGGGCGCTTAGTTACGACCATACTCATCTCTTTTGGCATCGGCTGACGAAAATCCCAAAAACCGTTGGCGGCAAATGCAGATGACCGACGATCTTGGTCAAGGCGCAGATCTAGGGAGAAAATGGCGCAAAAGAACGAAAATTACAAGGATATCCGAAAGTGGAGGCCAATCATGCAGCTCGGCTGGATCGTCTGAAAAGGAGTTTCCGGGATGCGACTTGACTGCGCGGGAAGTCCGCTTCCCAACTGTATACAGATGTCATGCCCCGGAAAGCCAGCCGAGACTGATGAGGATAGAGAAGAGCTTGTGCCACATCCCTCGGACATCTAACCTTGGAATGTGTTGGCAGTTCGAGGCCGAATTGAGCCCGCATTAGCTCGACACGTTCATTCGTTGTGGTGTCCCAAGGCCATGGCGTATGTCGCAACAGATGACTCTTGCGTCTACCAATAGACGCCGCGCGTTTGTGTTGGTTTTTAATTTCACTGTATCTGAGAAGAACTGAAACATGTACCAAAACAGAAAATGCTTTCATCTTCAGGGCTGTCTATAGCCGCTATTTATAATTCGTAATTGACATTTGCGCTAAGAGTGTAAAAGGGTAAAGGTGTAAATCCACACGGAATTGCCGCGGAAATGGACTGAGAGGCTTTGATCGCCACTTTTCTTCAAAGATATCGATTTAAATAGTGGCGAAAAAAATAATAATAATTAAAAAGCCCTTCTCCACCGGACACGGAGCACCCTGTCCGGTTCACCGATTAATTATTTTTTATTCTCTGGGGGTGGAACCAAACCACCCCTGTAGCCTTGTGTATCCGCGGTACACAGCTATACAGGGGGCCAAAAGGAGCAGACAGTTAGCTTGTTCGATTCTGTTTCTCATTTAAGGCTCTGATCTGCTTTTTCCTTAAGTCCTTTTTTTTTTTTGATCTGTAAGCCTTGGCCAGTTACCCCAGCTATACTTCATCCCACCTCCCTTACTTTTACACACGTTCATTCCAAATATCCCCCATTGATCGTTGGATCTGATATACGCCGCTTCTCCTACATCTCCCCACTATAATTAATCTGGTCTGTGCAACCGCTTGGGACCCAAAAAAGTGAAGCTCGGCTTTTCACCCGAGATTCAGATCTATTCAGATCTATGAACCACGAAACCTATCCGCCTCTACTTCTACACCACAACAAGGCACACATCACAATGGAAACACGCACAGAATACGCGCAGCGGCCCTCAACACGGCAAAGCCGCATGAAAATCGACGCCCTCTTAAATCCGGGCGAAGGAGACAGCTACTCAGACTCACCTCGCTCCCAACACGCCTCAATCCCATCCATCCACAGCTACCAACACTCGCCAAGTTTCCCCCCAAGTCCAAACTACTGGTATGGACGATACCACGACACCAGCCCGGGTGCACTATCCAGCGCAACCCACAGCAGCAGCCATAGCCATAGCGAAAGCCAAAGCCAAGGCCAATCCCAAACCCACCACATGTTCCTAACATACCGCCCCTCAAACCAAATGAGCACAAACCCAAACAGCGCCAGACACCACAGCACAAGCAACCAAGGCTCGGTATCCGGCCCAGGCTCACGCTCAACAAACTCCTCCCCAGACCCCTATCACCCGCAGAGCCGCGAACGCTACGACAGCGTCTCAAGCAGCTCCAGCGCAAACGCAGACCGTCGCCGGCCGCCGCGCCCCAAGTATGAGGAGGAGGAGATGTACTTTATCTGGTACCATCGCGTTGATCTGTGCCAGGAGTGGAAGGAGGTGCGCGAGGCGTTTAATCGGCAGTTTCCAGATCGCCAGAGACGTGGCTTCCAGGGTATCCAGTGCAAGTTCTATCGCTTTATTAAGGAAAAGAAGTGTCCTACTTTGCGGGAGCAGCGGCGGATGCGTGATGGCGAGTTTTTAAGGGAGGGGACTAGTGTTCAGGGTGGGACTGAGTCTGGGGCGCCCCGGTTTGGTGTTATTGAGTGGGGGAAGGTTTGGTATCCTTGGATGAGGGAGAGTAGGGCGGAGGTTTTGAGGTTGTGATTTCTTTTTTTGTTGTTTAATTGCGTTGATTTTTGGGTGGTTTCTTTGTCTGGTTTCTTTGTTTTCTTGATGGGCTGGGAGGTACTCTCGTTTTTGCATCTTTTTCTTTGCGCTTTTGCCTTTGGGCTACTTTTTTGTCTTTTTTACTCAAGATACCTCACTGGAGTTTCGTTTTTTTCAGCGTGGGAGGTCTATTTGTGAACCCCAGTCGTTTGGCAGGGTGTTTTCTTTTCTTTTTTTTTGCCGCGCCAGGATGTTCACTCCCTGACTTTTCTTGATGTCTACACTACACTATACTATACGATCTTGACTCGGAGCAATCCGGTCGGACACAGCTATCAACAGCTCAAATGAGATTCAGATTCGGATTTATTCTTCTGCATGACACGACTTGTAGGCCGTTCTGCATTCGTAATCCCCAGCCCGCTATCAATATTCCTATAGTCAGTCCAGTTTCTCCGTTAGCTGAACCCTGTCGAGACAAGCGAGTAGCTACAGTACTAACGATTGACTCTTTCTAGTTGACAGAAGTGTAAATACCACGACAAATGCAATGAGCCGAAAAGCAGGCTAACTCGTCGATCGTGGGGTCCAATCCTTCAATTCCAGCCCCAACAAGACGATATGGCAGTGCAAGCACAAGCAAGGACAAGGGCAAGACACAACATCCTCAGCCTATTACGGATCCATCGCTATAATTACTAAAACTGGACACATCGCCCCCTACCAATCTAACCCACAGCTCCCAATTCCAAATTTTAAGAAGGATCAATCCTGGAAGAATGCACCTTTAATAGGTCACCAGTGGCTGCAAGTCCAACACACGCAGTGTGCGCGCTCTGAACCAAAAAGAACACGAAGCAAAACCCGCCCTCAAAATGGATCTTAAAATCGATCGGAGATAGACAACGACATTTACGTACGAGACCACGTCACTAAGATGCAATACAACATAAAGCAAGCCATCATCAACAGTGACTGTACATACAGTCGGTCAAAGCATAGCCCAAAACAATAACAATGCGCTTGATTTTCGCAGTGCAGCAAACTAGCTGCATAGCCACCGTTGATCGGCGGTAGAATAGACGCGTTTAATGTGAGATATGAGATATGAGATAACCATCTGAGGAAAGGGAGGTCTGGCAGAAGTGAGGAGTCAAGCGCAGCTCTGAGCGCAGAGGTGGGAGGCAGTAAGCAGTTCGCGGTCGTAAGTACAGTACATGTATAGGAGGTGAGGTGGGGGTCGGGTATGGGGTGTGGATTGGATGTGTCGCGCGCAAGCGCTCACGTTAGTATGTGTCTGCGTTTCTTTGCTTTTCTTTTTGCTTCTTTCCTTTTCTGATGGCTCGCTCTAGCTTTTGTTTTGCATGTGTGCCTTGTGGTCTTTGATAACCGGGATCTACGAGTTCGATCGAATTGGGTAGATGGGCATATGATTTGTTTACTGTATGGACGTATATGGTGCTGTTTCTAGTTTTTGAATGGAGACTTACAGGTAGCAAGTTTGTAGGTGAGGACACGTATTTGCAATTGGAGTTTCTTATTGTTAATTACTCTTTATATAGTAGTAGGAACAGGAACAGGAGCAGGAGCAGGAATAGGAATGATAATCATTGGATCGCATTAAGATCCCATCTGGGATGACAACCAAAATGGTGTAGCGTCGGGATCGGGGAACCATCCCGTAGGTGCCTTAAGTTTTCATTTCATGACAGAGGGACGATCACTGTGCCCAATGTCTCAGCCTCAATCTCGAAATTCGGGGATTGGAGAAGGACATTCGGGGAGTCGGGAGGATGTGGGGCGCATACAGATGCTAAGATGCATCCTAATGGATTAGCCTAGTACAGGTACAGTGGGGTGAAGAGAGAATGTTGATCGGCATACTATAACGTAAATTAAAGCCCCAATGTCGAAATAGTCAGGGGCCAGTGTGTACTCTATCAGTGGGGCATTCTAAATTGCGAGAACACAAGTGTTCAACAGCTTAATGGCATGGGTATACTATAACATGGTCTAGAATGGCGATGTATAGAGTGCACAACAGTCAGACAGAAAAACCCAATCTCTAATTCTTCAAAGGCTAATACTCGTGCAGAAATGACTCGGGATTTGAATGTCACTGCATGACACATGCCACATATGCCACTGCCCAGGTAGGCATGGACGTTTCAACGTCTGGTACTCCGTGCGGCACATCATACATCAATTTCGTATTCCATAGAACAGCCAAAAAAAAAAGCAAATCATTCCCCCATAATACAGATACCATACACTTACACTTACACTTACATGTATAGTATAGTAAAGGACCAAAAAAGCAAAGTAAACAACAATACTCCACCGCCCACTCGGCACGAACTTCCCCGGCGCCATAGTTCGCCCTAACAGCCCCCAGTCCACCCGATCCCCCTATCGCTGTCGAACCTCATCAGCACTAATCTGAAATAGGCAAGAGGGGCGCCGTGAAGGACGATCTGATTTGTGCTTGTTTAATCTATATCCACCAATCCCGGGCTGCTGATTCCCATGTAAGCGAAGTAAGCGATCCGGAAATGGAATGTGGGTTTTGGGTGGATTTGCATTTACACTCCCTCCGTATTTGTATGTATATACATGTACTATGATCGTGTACTGTATAGCATGCTTGACGATTATCATATCATGTCATGTCATATCGAGAAAGGTGAGGATTGAGGTTGTGTTAGGTTGGGCGGGCAGGGATTGTGGTTGTACGGACACAGTAGGTTATGTGTGTGCTTAGGAGTCGTATTGTCGGTCGACTTGTGTATGTGGAAGAATGGACAGAGTGAAATGCTGTGTATATATGTGCATTTATCCTGGTTTATGGTCGTAGGCATGTTACAGGTTAGTCTGCTGTGGGTATGTTCTTATCCATGGTCGATGTCAGGTTACATTCGTTCTGCAGTAGGCGCAACGGGGCACGATCTAGATATCTACTACCTAGGTAGGGTAATGTACAGGGCTACGGTATGTCAAGTGTAAGGATGATTTCAATGGAGCCATTGCTCGGTGGTCACTTGTGAGATGTCAATTTTGTCAATTGTTCTCCTAGGGTCGCGACAAGGTAGAGAGGCCAGAAGCAAAGAGATCAACAGAAACAATGCATAAGGTATCCAATGTATGAACCAGGTAAAAGAGACATCGGCCAACCACCGACCCAATACGAGCAAGCAAGAGGAACATGACTTTCGATGGCAGTAGAACAAAGCGTCCATCAACACAAGTAGGAAATCAGTAATCATCAGAGTCCGAGCCCTGACCACCATAGCGCGAGTTATACCCAAAACCAGAGTTAAACCCGTCCTCACTGGCAGAATCATCAAAGTCAAAGCCATCATCGTCAGATGAAACCTCCTCATCGGGGTAGTCATTGGCGGGATTGTTCTCAGCTAAATTGGAAGGTTGGGTTAATGAGAGTTCATACATCGCAATTCGAGGACCAAAGGGAAACTTACCATTCGAATCCGCGTCCTCACTATCCCACTCCTCCTCGTCATCCTCAACGAAATGCTCCCAATACTGCTCGTCCTCTTCTGTAATGACAATAACACCAACACCAGGCTGAGCCTTGCTGACATTCTTCTGCTGCTGTTCGGATTCATACTCAGAGAGAGGGTTCCTGAGCATCTCACTTTCCGACAGCGGGCGCCGAATATAGACATCGTAGACATAGTCACCATCATCATCTTCCGCTTCAGGCATATCATCCACAGCCTCCTCATTCTTCAGCCGGGACTGAGACTCAGACTGAGATTGAACAGGAGCGATTCTAGGTTCCTTCGGCTGCCTCGGCTGATATTTCAATGGCGGCTTAGGCGTGGAACTCACAGGCTGAACGGCCGACACATTCCCATTCCCAGCAATGCGCGTATCAAGATCCATACCATGCTTCTGCTCATCTCCATCTTTACCATCATCCACCTGAAGTTCAAGAGCAACCTGCTCAAAATCTCTAGCAAGCCGCTCAGACTCCTCATCCCAATTCCTCTGCTGGGTTCGCTGCGCAGATTTCTCCAAAGTCTCACTAAGCCGATCCTTCGCCGCAGAAATCGACCCCTTCCGTTCCTCCCTCCACCGCCGTTCAGCATGATTAACAACAGGCCGCTTCCGTGGTTTCACAGGCGAAGCCGGAGCCGAACCCTCCACAACTTCCTTCGGCGGAAGCGAAATACCCCGATCCCCAAGTTGCGCGTGCGCAACCATATCAGAGACCATGGACGTCTTGCGCGAATGCGTGCGCCGATGCAGTTGTTCAACTAGCACGGCGACACCCGGTGCCGGACCATCAGCGCGACGTTTTTGGATTCCGCCTGGACTCCGGAGAGAACCGAGGTTTGATCTGGAGATCTGGAAGCGACGGAGAGTTTGTGCGCGGCTAGGTGATGCTGTTCTGGATGGTTGTTTGGTCTCTCCTTTTGCTGCCGTGTCGGGGGTGCTGGGTCTAGACCCTGACCCAGATACAGATTCAGATCTAGGTGCAGGTGCAGACGCAAGGCTGGTCTGTGATGGAGAAGGCGGTGCTTGACCCGAGTAAATGAGTTGCCGGCGCTTTTCCTCAAGCTCTTTGCGTGCGGCTGCGACACGCTGTGCTTCACGGAATTCCGCGCCTGGTGAGGTAGCTCGGACTGTCGGGACGCAATTGCCATTCCCATTTGAGGATGCTGGTGCGCGGCGAGAGACGTGCAGACTGCTTACTGAGCGCGGGCTGCGTAGGAGCCGCTGGGCTGCTGGGTGCGCTGTTGATGGTGGGCTTGGAGATGCATCTGAGCTTTCGCTGGCCTTCGGTGTTACTCTGTGGAAGACGAAGTCTGTGAATCGTCTTTTGGTTTGGTGGAGTGCCGATTGAATATCTGGGTATCTAGTTAGTGGGTATTCTTAATTGCTGACTAGAAATTTAGGGCAAGGGGTATGTAATAGGCTTTTATGCATTTTTTGGAAGGGTGTACATCGCGGGGAAAAACAAGGAGAGCATTTTTTTCTTACAGAGGGTTTCCACGGGTTCTTCTTCGCGCCTTCGCTTGATGTTGATTTGCTCTGGGGGAAGCGCCATGTTGCGATGTCTTCAGTTGATCATGCGATGAGTAGATTGACGTTGGGATGGAGGGATGGGAGGCCGAGTTGGTGATCTGAATCATCCATGTATCTGATCCATTCCTGATTTGGACTAGTGCTTCACGTGATATCTATATCGAGGAGGCCAAAGACTTCATATCGTTCGCTCTACTGAACTGTACGAGGACTACGACGTTTGATGAAGGTATCACTTGTTCTCTTCTCGCAATGGGTATTGTCATCGACTCATTTCCATGCTTTCCCGGGAACTCTCCACTAGTTACACATCTGCAGTCCTGACCTGCTTCCTCTTTGCAACCAAAATATCCACGACAGACAAGCGGGACAGGGCTGGTATTTCCACTGGATCATACCACCGGTATGCATTCTGCCCAGGGATATGGTAATGGAAAATCTCTAATCAAAAGACCATAAGAAAGAGCACCCAGGGCCCGAGTGTGGTCCACCACTCTCCCTCTGTGGTTCATGATCCAGCGAAACATGCGGTGTGCTCAGTCCCTAGACCAACATAAAGGAATAAAAAGATAAAAAGGAAGATAAAAAGAAGGGAAAGACTCATAGCCAGCTAGCAATACATGGTGATAAAAGAAGGGGAAGATGGCATGAAAATGAAATTAATAGGGGAATAGAAATCATTGGCGGCGAACTGAATATGTCCGGACAAAATGGGGAAGAAAATCCAAAAATGCCAAAGTAGAAAAGAAAAGAAAAAGGGGGTTGAAGTGAACGGCAAAGAGTTAGAAAGGTAATAGTAAAAAGAAAAAAAAGGAAATTATGACCAATACAAGAAGCGAATCAGAATCAAAATGGGGGAAAGTAAAAGGACATGACAATCAAGAAGGGACTATATGTATGAAATAAGAAGAAATGGCATTAGATTCACCGAGGACAATGAGTCAATTATGCATCCCCGGGTATGCGTGCTTTGATGCAAATGATTATTTGGCCCCGATCTCCTCTTCAGCCCAGCCGGGCAGGGAGTTTTCGTTTTGAATAGCCAGTCCGAATCCGGGGTGGTTGAGGCCGCCGAGCGCAGAGGTGAAGCTGGAGAAGCTGCTCTGGGGTTGGTGGGCGGCTCCTGCGCGGGTGTGGCCAGGTTGGCCAGAGACAGGACCAAAGGGCTCTTGGGAGAAGGAGGGCAGGCTGACGGCTCGCGAGTGCGAGGCACGGGGAACGCTCAGGCTGCTGGTGCTGGCGTGGTGGCCGTGGCCGGAGCCGTTACCCACGCTCAGGTAGCTGTTGTTTGAGGACTTGTGCGGGTGCATTGGTGGGTCCATGCTTCCGTTGGAGAGCTCGCCGTTGGTGGCGCCGTTGTATAGCGACTGCTGGGGCGGAGCCTGGGACTGTGCCTGCAGGCCGCCTAGGGCCATGGGGTCTCTGAGTCCGTTCTCCTGGTCCTGTGTCTGGTGGGCAGACATCTGATTTAGGTACATAGTGAGAGGGTTGCTAGATCCGACATTGAGGACGCCAGAGGGAGAGGAGACTGTCTGCAGAGGGTGGCGCTGCTGTCCATTCTGAGAGCCAGTGGAACCGGGTGCTGGGGAGAGAGCGGGACGAGTCGGACTGGACTGGGAGCCGGACTGGCTGAGGTTCTGCTGAAATCCGTTGAGAGCGGGGGTAGGCGACTGAGGGCCTTCCATGCCGGATCCATTGCGGCCCTGGCCATTCTGGTTGTTTCCAGCCTGACGGGGAGGGTTTCCACAGCGGTCTTTACCAAAATTGATCTTGAAGCGGCGGTACTCCTCACGGTTGCGCATACCCTCGATGGCCTTGATGGCATTGGCGATGTTGGTGAAGTTGACAAACGCACAGCTCTTCTCGCGCAGGGTGTTCACCAACTCGATCTCACCATACTCCGAGAAGTCCTGGCGGAGGCGTTCCTCCGTCCAGGCCTCGTCCAAGTTGCCGATATACACGTTACGCGACGCGCCTCCGCTGACTGCCAGCGCAATGGCGGGCGGGAGAGGGCCAGAGTGCTTGCCCCAGCCAATCTTGAGTCGTCGATTGTGGATCATCAGACCCTGAAGGTTGCTCAAGGCATAGAATGAGGCAGCCGAGGTGGGATCGATGAATGTAACGAAGCAAATGTGCTTGTCAGGAATATACCGGACGTGGTGCAACAGGCCTCCACGCACAACGTTGCAGATCTCTTCAATGGTGGTTTCAGGGTGAATGTTTCCAAGGTAGATAGTTCGGTTGCCAAGGTTGTTGACACCGCCCGCTGTCGTGGCCACGGCGGCCGCAGCCACAGACTGTTGCGCAAGCGCATTGGAAATCAAGTCACGATCCGCCGTGTTGAGCACGTGCGCGTATCCTGGGGCGATTCCCAAGAACTGAGCAGCATTTTGCTGCTGAGTCTTGGACACATACGCACAACGGTCCTTGCCGTAGAACACCCGCTTTGGCGCTTGCCATTGCTGCTCCTGAGGGAGCTGGGTGACGGCCTTCATCGCATTACTGATGGACAGGAAGTGTACGAATCCAATAGCCTTCTCCTTGACAATCTTCACGGTGTCAATGGGTCCGAACTTGCCCAGTTCCTCCCGGAGGTCGTCCTCGGATATTTCCTCGGGCAGATTTCCGAGGTAAACATTACGCGACGCGCCCGACTGTTGGACTGCCAGGGCGACGGAGGTCGGAACCTGAGAAGGCTTGCCCCAGCCAACCTTGATATCATTTCCCTTGATGGCCAGCTTCTTCAAAATGGCATCAGAGTGGAAATGAGTAGCAGAGCTGCTGTCCAAAAAGGAGATAAACGCGCAGTTCTTATCGGGCAGCAGGCGAACGGACTCAATCTGGCCGCTACGCACATGGTTAAGGATCTCCTCGGCAGATGTTTCAGCTGGGATGTTTCCTAGGTAAACGGTGCGGCTGGTCCCCGATAGCATGCCGGGGGCCACTGAAGCCTGCGGGCTCCCCAGAGCCGCATTGCCCATACCTCCAAGACCATTGATAGGCGACTGAGGGCCCATCATCTGAGAAGCACCCATGCCGTCGGGCGACATCATTCCATATAGACCCTGGTTCTGCATTCCTTGAGTCGGGCTGTGCATGTGGTTCTGGTTGTTCTGAGCGTGTCCATTGCCATTGGCCTGAGAGAAGCTACCGAAATTGGCGAACTGAGGCGATTGGAAGGCCGAGGGAGTTCCGGGTTGGAACGGACTGCCCACCAGCAGCTGGGAGGGTAAAAGGGGGGTGAAGTTCATATCGAAACCGGAAGCCATATCGGATTGTTGTCCTGGGTTTGTGTTTATAGCGGGTATATTAGCGCGACGAGCGTTTCGATCCGAGAATCCTTGAGAGTGTGGATGGTTATTGTTGTATGCTCCGTGGGAAAATCCAGTGTCGCCGTTGAGCGCGTATTTGGACCCGGGAGGGATTAGACGCGAGTTGTTCGGGATGCTTGATATATCCGAGGTTTGCATGGCGAGGTCGAGTCCTGAGGAAGTCGAGGCGACTACCAGACTAAGGAGGCTCTGAGAAGAAAAAGAAAGGAATTATCAGATCACCATTCAGGAGGCCAGTCCACACGGGTCACGAGAAAAGGGGAGAATATAAATATAGGTGGGGAAGAATAAAATGAGGATAAAGTGGGCAAAAGACGAGACGTGTTTAGATGAATGGAATGTCAAGAAGGGAATGGGGGAAGACCAACCGTTTCTCCGGGAATGTGTATGTTCAGTTGGCCATGCGAAGAGAAAAGGGGAGAGAGAGAAAGAGGCTACAAACAGTTAGCTGGAAGGGGATTAGTGGGAGCAGAAGAAGAGGGAAAAAAAGGGGGGCTATGGAGAAAGGTTTACCTTGACTAAAAATTAAGAAATTGAGAAGAAAAAGAAAAGGCAGGGTTAAAGAGAGAGAAAGAATGAAAGGCAAGGAAGTGAATCCAGGTAAGGTATGAGAGAGGGAAAAAAACATAAAAGGGGCAAGACATTATACGGAGGAGTGGATTAAGGGGCCGAACTACAACTCCATTTCTTATTTCTGCTACAGTAGTGTATTTTCCCCAGTTCTGCAGAGAGACCCAGCCACAATTTACCCCTGGCAAGTATATGAGAAAGACCAACCTTGGAACCGGCAAAGTCACTGTAAGTGAGCCTCCTTAATGTTCTCCGTAGGCTCCCTGCATGCCAAGAGCGGAGTCCCGTGACCTTCAAATTATGTCAGTTGAGACAGTTGAGAGAGGTGGACTTGGATATCTACTAAGTTATATGCTGATCTCGACTCTGACACGTACTCGAAACGCGATGTTCACCTCTGTCCCGGGATACGAGTAACCTACATGTATACGAACTAAAAGTGATATGTCTTCAATGCAATACACCAATCATTAAGATTTTAGGTAGTATAGATGAATCTACTAAATATCAGATGCTATAGATGATATACATACTACTGCATATATCAACTTCCTATACAACCAGGAAAGTTTGAACCAAGTTGAGTCATATCGAATTGTCGCCTCAGGCACCCATGGGGAATCCCGCAGATCGGAAATTTACCCCTCCACAATGTGTGATTCTCCTTGCGTTGAACACTTTGCAATTGGGAGATAAGAGGCCTCTTTGCTGCGTCTTATCAGGTGAGTATTCTGATCTGTCCTGGTCCCTGGATCTATGACTCACATACCGAACACTATTAATTCGCGACTTACAGAACTCGTTCCCCAACCTAGCATTGCAAGGATAGAGCGCAATGGCGTCCACCACTATCTATATCGACGAGGACGTCGGAAGAGACGAATCTCCCGCCAACGGTACCGAGGCCGCTCCCTACAAGACCCTCGTCCACGCCTTCTTGGAACACGCTCCCACCACTGAGGGCATCCAGTACCTCACGCGCAAGTCCCAGACCGATGCCGCCGGCGAGGATGTCGATCCCGCTGCCAAGTTGGAGTGGAAGCCCGCCACCAAGTCAGCCATGAAGAAGGCCAACACCCTGTGCGAGCAGCGCAAGAAGAAGGCTGCCAAGGAGCACGAATTGGCCATCCGTGAGAAGGCCGAGGCCGACAAGCGCCAGAAGGTCCTGGAGGAGGCCAAGAAGATCATCATCAAGGAGGACACCTCCCTGCCCAAGCCCGTCCGCATTCGCCTGGATGACACCAACCCTGCCACTGTCAAGTTGCGCTCCGCCGAGTCCGATGAGCCTGGCACCCGCGTCCGCGTCCTGGGTCGCGTCCACCGCATGCGCGCCCAGAAGGACTACGTCTTCATCACTCTGACCGACGGCTACGGATACCTCCAGTGTATCCTGACCGGCGATATGGTCAAGACCTTCGACATCATGACCCTCACCCTCGAAACCTCCATGGCCATCCACGGTGAGATGCGCGCCGTGCCCGCCAAGCAGCACGCCCCCAACGACCGTGAGCTGCACGCCGACTACTTCACCATCATCGGCCGCGCCGCCGGTGACAAGGAAGCCATCACCACGCGCGTGGCGCCGGACGCTGACCCGCAGACTCTGTATGACAACCGTCACCTCGTGCTGCGTGGTGAGACCTCGTCTTCCGTCATGAAGGTGCGCGCCGCCACTCTGCGCGCCTTCCGCAAGGCCTTTGAGGGCCACCGCATGCTGGAGGTATCTCCTCCCGCCATGGTGCAGACCCAGGTTGAGGGCGGTAGCACTCTCTTCGGCTTCGACTACTACGGCGAGAACGCCTACCTGACACAGTCTTCCCAGCTGTACCTGGAGACTTGTCTCCCATCTCTGGGCGACGTGTTCTGCGTGTGCCCGTCGTTCCGTGCCGAGAAGTCCCTGACCCGCCGTCACCTGTCAGAGTACACTCACATCGAAGCCGAGCTGGACTTCATCACCTTCACCGATCTGCTCGACCATCTCGAGGAGATGATCTGCAGTGTCATTGACCACGTTCTCGCCGAGCCCGAGATCGCCGGCTACATCAAGCAGCTCAACCCCGATTTCAAGCCCCCATCCCGTCCCTTCCGTCGCATGAAGTATGACGATGCTATCCAGTGGTTGATCGAGCACGAAATCCCCAACGAGGAGGGACAGCCCCACAAGTTCGGTGATGATATTGCCGAGGCTGCTGAGCGTCGCATGACCGACATCATTAACCAGCCCATCTTCCTGACCCACTTCCCTGCCGAGATCAAAGCCTTCTACATGAAGAAGGACCCCGAGGACCGCCGCGTCACCGAGAGTGTCGACGTGCTCATGCCCGGTGTTGGTGAGATCGTCGGTGGAAGTATGCGCATGGACGACTGGGATGAGTTGATGAACGCCTACAAGCACGAGGGAATGGACCCCAAGCCCTATTACTGGTACACTGACCAGCGCAAGTAAGTTTATACCAGCCTCCCGGCTTCCATATCGGTCCCAATACTAATATCTTATTATAGGTACGGTACCTCCCCTCACGGTGGCTACGGTCTCGGTCTGGAGCGTTTCCTCGCCTGGTTGTGCGCTCGCTACACCGTCCGTGATTGCTCCTTGTACCCTCGTTACACTGGCCGTTGCACACCTTAAATTAAGCACAAAAATAAGCATGATCATGATAGGGTTAGGCATTGGTAGAACGAAAAATGGTTGCTCATATATGAGGGATAAACTTTTTTCTTATCTTGTTTTCCGATGCTGCAATTTCGAATAATATAGACTGATATTTTCTCCTCGTTGCTCTCCAATTTGTGAATTATTAGCGGGACTATCTACTGCAAGTATTTCTACTGAACATTAGCATGACAGGTACATCTACGTCCCCTCCAACTCTGCACCACTTGCTATCTAGCCAGATAGTCAATATCAATATCGATGCCGACACCTCCCCTACCCACAGCCTTCTCCAATGTAACAACCCCAATAATACACCCTGCCCAGTATCCCATCACGACCATCGAACTCCCAGTCAGCTCAAAACCCCAGCACCAGGAACCCGGGATTAAAGAATCATCTACGGGATCATGCATGTCATGTGCACCTGTCGTGCACAGCAGACCGAGACCAAACCCAAACTCTCTCGCTGGATGTGCATATGAATCTGGACTGGTCCGCAATGGGACTGTTATGGTTATGGTTGTGTTTGTTGGATAGGATGGTGAGATCCGTACGTTTATGGGTCTGGAGCTTGCTGGGTGGGAGGTTTGAGGTGTTTGTTGTTGTAAGCGGGTAGTGTGGTTCTGGGGGCTGGATAGGGATGGGTAGTGAAGAGACGAAAGGAGAAGAGGTTCTCAACAGTTGTTGTTCTATTCGTCCCATTTCCTCCATCCCTCTGCCCGTGGAACTGGTTCGGTGGTCAGCTCTGTTTGATCAGCTCTGGCTGTGGCTGGTATAGTGAGTCGTGTCCGAGTTCGAGGTTGAGATAATGTTCGGCACGCGAGTGTTGTGATGAGTATCGAGATGGCTTTGTTCGGTCTGTCTCGCTTCGTTTAGGGTTGTGCCTGCGTCTGTGTCTGTGTTAGTGCTGGTCAGCCAGATTCCAATCCCGGCTCCGAGCTGTTATCCATCTCGAATCAAGCAGGGAGACCGGTAGACAGGAATGTCATCGAATAGGAGAGAAAGACAGAAGGATGTTCAACTTGAATTGAAGCAAGTCTGGTGTGCGCGTCTGGACTGTCAGGGTCTCTCGAAGTCACGGGGAAGAACTCTATGGCCCTAGTCAGTATTCAATCCCTGCTCCACTTCTCCATCGCACAGCATCAACACTGTCCTTTATCAAGTGATGAACGAATGTCTCTCAGGTGGAGAGAGGGAGACTTCGCGTCTCACAGGAAGAGGCGACACGAGCCACATCAAGGCCTGGCTTGCTATTGCTCGAGCCGACACGGAGATAGAACCCGTAAGTCCCACTCTCTTTCATTCCACTTGACCCCTTTGAGAAACAGCAGGACCATCCTTCTGGGCATAAACAGCAGTTGTTCCAGGGTGAACACACGCTAGGCCGGTGTCAGTGTTAATAATGGTGTTGGTGTTAGTGTTGCTATAATATGATGTCTCATCCACAGATGAGGGCATCTAACCCCCTTACAGGACGTGGCCATTACAATGTCCATTTTCCATTCACGCGCGAACCGTCGATCATCAGGTCTGGTCCCTTTTTCCGTCCCTGTTTGATTGGCACAGTCTCGACATGACGTTCCATGACCCTCTGGCCGTACTTCGGTTCAATCCGCACGTAGATAGTGGCGGAGATATGATGGTGTGTGCGCATTTCGATTGGTTTGGCCCGGTCCCTGGTACACGCAGGTCTTGGCCTCTTGCCTTCCTGGGATTTGAAGCTTCATCGATGGCGATACCGAATGCGTTTGGTTCACATGCGCTTCTCGTCACCACCACGTACAATTGGTTTTAACGGTGTGGTATCTGTCTTTTCTGCTATGTTTTCCTACCCTGGTGCAGGCCAAGTCGGGTATGTTTCGCCACTTGACACTCATATATGGTTTGTCAATATCGACACAACCAACCTTCGATGGCCGGATATGCAAATCCGGCACCGCGAATAATCGTCCCAAGAAAAGAAATGTGACCAAATATGTGTGTCACAGGTTGCATCGATCTACCACTTGACAGCATTCGGTCATTTTTTTGGCTTTTTCTTTTTTGTTTTCAAATCACAAGGGATCTCAGCACTAGCCTGAGCACTAAAACGACCAACGCAAATCAAGAACAAAACAAAAAAAAGGGCTTATGGCCGTTGGACATCATGACTGATCAACAAGTGCCTCAACCTTAATCCCACCTTCTCGGGAGTCAACCCAAACAATCCCAGCACATGCAACACAAATCACGACAGGACAACCAGCCACAGCGCTACCAGGACTAAGCCTCAAGGCAATGATCAGTACCTCTAGGTGCGCGGAGCAGGCGCGTTGTAGCCGTCGCTCTTGAGTTGCTGAATAGCATGGTGAATCTGGACCTTTGAAACGCCCGAGCGGATGAGATCCACCAGGTGGGCGACCGCTGCTTGGTTGCCGTCGCGCATGACGGTGACCAGGTCATCCAGGAAGTTGCGGTAATAGTCGAGCTCTTCCCCGACAGCGCGGTGGCTCTTGGGTGGCTCTTGGATGAGATGGCTGCTGGCGTTGCTACGTGGAGAGGGGAGGTTCAGTCTGTGATCGTTCAGGCAACTATCAGAAGGGGATACGCAAACGCAGATGCAGATACAGAAGGGGATGAGTGGGGTGGGATGGGCGAGGGATATCAGGCAAATGGGCAAACCAGCATGGAAGGAGACAGGCTGCTCACCTCGATGAGTCCTCGGTCCTCGAGGGTTGAAGCTGGTTGCGAGTTCCAGCTGGAGATTCTTGGCCGGGGGCGTTGTCGGTGGTTGCGATGCCGGCCGTCATCTTTGCTGGGGTCGGGAGAACGGTGAGCTTCGAGTCTACGGGTCGTTGGAGGGTAGCTTTCGAGATACTTGATGCTGGCGGATCGGGGTCTGGTACTGGTATTCTAGGGCTGTGTATGAATACGCTGAAGGGTTAGTAACCCTGCATGAGAAAGAAGAATGGGTGGGCTCAAAGGTAACGGGGAGGGGTCAACAAGGACCCCTCCGTATGCTAAACAGGCTGAGCATAAGGAAAGAGTGTTGGGGCTGGGAGACGGAGCGGTCGGCCATATTAAGTGTACGAGCTAGCGTGTCCGAATAGGGAAAATAACGAACCCGTAGAGAGATATAGATTCGATACGGAGGGAAGAAAGAAGGGAGCAGAGTTTGAGCCGGATATTTATTGTTTTGCCGCCAGTTTGAGTTACTCTGCAATGAAATGGGTAAATCTCGAGGTTCCAATCCTTTCAGGAACTCGATCCGGCTCGGGAGAGGCGTAACATTTGCCATATCTCTAATACACAGGAATTTAGCATAATAATTGGCATAGAAGGCGAGGAATCGAGAAGGCGAATCTATGTCATGTTGGTAGTTATTCACAAATCGCAGAGCTCGAATCCGCTCCGGAGAAAAGTGCCAGCCAATCGTTGGATGTGTCAAGTTCTCCACAGAGACATCTTTCCAACTTCATCCCATATTCGAACTGAGACTTCGCACGATTCCTAGAAAGTGAGTGCCGATAGCCTTGCCATCTCGCTCTCATTTGCGAGATTCAGCTCAAAAATGTGACGTTGACGGATCAATAACGCCTGTGTCGGCTCGGGGTTTGGGATGCACTGAACCCCGAATCGGAGACGAGGAATTTCCTATCTGGTCTTCTGTCTGCTGGGTTCACATGTGTGGATGTGTGGACTCGGTAGACAACGATGGAGTTGGCATGGGGCGAACGGGGCATTCCTCGTTTTGTTGGCCACTTCTTCAACCAACGCATCAGGAGCCAGCTGGGACGGCTCAACAGTCTCCAGTTGCGGGATTGGATACTTGAACTCACCACGGAGTACCCGGACTCCATCTGCAACTACCGTGCAATGATGCTGAGCTTGATAGTACTTCGAACCGTGGAACGTGTGGGCCTTCCTCTTACCTTGAACCCTTGAGCCCGATACCTTAACCCCGACAGAACGCGACCTTAACGACAATGGCGTATTGTTTCACTCGATCGACCGTTCATTTCGACGCTTGATAGTCAAAGAGGGATCAAATAATGGATATGGATGGACACCAACAACCGAGAAACCGGTAGTTATGCTCGGAATTTATGGCCTTCATTGTCACAACGGGACAGGTTCGACAAGCACTGCATAGCACTGTCCTCAATCTTTGAGAAACTCACTGACTTGTTCTTTCTCTATAAACAGTGCCAGAACCTCGTGAATGTTGACTCGATACCCTTTCCTCACCCCTTCCCGGCCGTGTTGGCATTGACTGCGGCCTTCACTTTTCCAGTGCGGAACTTTCCAAGTATGCGATTCAATTTGCGATGTTTGAAACGATGAAAATGGCGTCCATGTTGGAGACATGATCTTTTTTGTCCACGTTTGAGCTCGGCCACATCGACGTGATTGTGGATTATGAACCGATTGAGTGAACAGTCATTAGCAACGGCTTCGACCTTGTTTCATGGATACTTTGCAACCATTATGATTGTACTCGTCGCCCAAGGTACGGTTTGATGTTTTGTACGCCAGAACTCCTGGCCATAACGGCTTCGCTTTCAAACAATGGCGACGCGTCCAGAGCCTCCCAGAGCCAATCACCATGCTGTGGTGGCTACCTCGGAAGAGCCAGCTGTTCCATTTCAATCATATTGCAATTTACGACTTGACGTGAACCTGGGTATAGCCGTGAGACCGAATGGCCTATCGTCAAGCTGTTCGGGGTGGGTTCAACATGACGGTGTCCGGACTGTGTTGAATGCGATGATGATTCGAAAACGATTCCCCTGGTGGACGATAATACAAAGTATGGAGTTTGTGGAGGGTCTGAAGCGGCTTTGGGGCTTTGGGATCAATGGACCATCCAGCCCTCGACGTGAGCAACCCCCGGGCGCTTCGGGATGTCCTGGGTGGCCTTCGTTTGGTATCCGATATTCGCGAGATAGCTGCTGGGATCTTCGAATACTCCTTGTTCCTGGTGGTGTTGCATGTTCCACCAGTGTCTTCGTTCAAGTGATCCGCGTGGGTGTTTCGATGCTGGCGGCTGTGCATCGATGTGGTATCTCCAGCTTCACGTTGCTTCATTCAAAGGTTATGGTGTTTGGTAACCCCAAATGCTGACTCGAGATCAGATTCAATCATGTCCCTTGAGCTGGAAGTCAGCGTGGCCTGATCGGTCCATGGTCACACAGCAAGGATGCATCGGACCAGACGCGTTGCATCAGGCCTTCATGAGCGGCTTCAGCTCCATACGGATCCACAACGCAGATACATTGTCGTTTGTCTTGGGTTCTCGGGGTTCGTAATAGGCAAGCGATCTAGCACCTCTGCCGCGGGGTGGCAACGTTTCCTGGACGGGGATTGGCATCTGCCCTGAGCGCCACTGGGCCCTAGTTTCATGATTGTCGCTCGCTGCAGCTCGGAGGTGTGGTCTGTGACAAATCAGTCATTTGGGGTGCACAGCACGTCAGCAACTTTATTCGCTTGTGTTGTGGTCATCCTGGAGGGAGGCCTGGGAACCCTTTACGGGGTATCCTTTGACAGCCTCCTTTCAACCGTGATGTCGAAGCATTATCGTTGAAACGACAGACTGGAGTAGGGTCACTGTCTACTGCACGGTATGAACCCGACTCCGGGTCTGAGTGACCCCTTCAGAGTATTGGGCATGGACCGGGTCCACGAGATGTCAGAGGCTTCGATGGCAGCAGACTCTTCACAGGCTCGCCAGCTGCCGACTTTTATGTCGATACAACTGGCAATGTCTGTCAGAGGGAAGACATAACAGAAGAGAATGCCCTATTATTCACCCTGTGTTGGCAATTGGATCCACTCGCCATAGGAAAAGTGTTCCTGGCGAGTCCATTGGGGCTCCACCTGACGCCCAGGTAACGCAAACTGGGTAAGCTGCCTCGCCCGAAGTCATCACGGAACAAGAATCTTGGAGCGTTTTCGCTGATAAATATGCTCAGATGTTAATACTATACCCCAGTGGAAAAGATGGTTCCGAGAAGAGGAGCTCATTTTACTTAAGTGATTGGTGTAAGGGGCATGACGATGGCCCGCTTATGAAGCATGATATTTTTCATACGGATCAAACATTCATATACTCAAATACAAGCAAGATTACTGTGGCTGAATTACTGACAGGATGCAACGCTGTCATCTGCAAGAGACGAAGCACCTAAGAAACCATTAAGCTTGGTACGTGGATTCTGTACTGTATACAGCGTACAGAGCCGTACCGGGAATCCCTGGTGTCAATCCACGCGTCAGTGGCTTCAGGCTTAATTTATATCGCCTTAGTGGCAAACAATGAGCATTACAAGGTTTCGTGATATTGGACTTGGGCCTGGCTTTCTATTTCGATCACTAATGATAGTTACAGGCTACATCAGAGCTTGAAAAAATCTACAGGTCGTGGATCGTTCTCATTCGTGACTTTAAGGCGGAAATAGATATTCCGACGAATGAATTCCTTGTGGGAGGACTTGCAGCCTGGTTGATATTTCTACAAGCCGAGATTTATCAACCAGGGTCGAATACAGACTGTTCCGTATGTCTGGGCAGTGGAGCCAGAGTCGGTGGCTAACATTAACCATATTTGAGCCTCTTCTTAAGGGTGATTGCCATTAACGTTCGTATCGTTGACAAAACGATCGACAGAGCAGCCACACTAATTTCAAATAAAAAATCTGCAATATCATCTATTCTAGCATCTCGATCATCTTGACGATTCTATAATCGCTAGTTCGTGCCGGGTTTACGTGAAAATGACGCATAGAGTCGTAGAGCTCAACATGGATTCTAGATTTGTTGTACCGTGGCTAAGTCAAACAACAAAGTATAAATAAGAACAATGTATGGTTCTCACCGTGATCTGTCGATAATTCTAGATGTCTTCATCCTCAAGCTATACATGTACATAGGTTTATATGTGGGCTTTGTTCTATACTAATCACCTGGTTTAAGTTGGTTGACACTTGGGGACCGACACGCCACACCTAACCAGTTCTGGTCGAAGAGTGAGAAAGCGCAATCAATATGAACTGTTTCAATGCACCCGTTCTTTCTTCATTTGAAAACATGTCGCGTATATCAATTTGATGTATAGCCAAATTGGTTACGCCCGCGATCCTCCAAGACTGTAGCGATGACACATGGTACCATGGGTAATCATCTACCACTACTACTTACACATGTGCATTGATATGCACATACCAAAGTTGCGAGTTATGCCTCAGTGATGTCTGTTTATGAGCTAACAACTTGGCAAAGGCTGGTATGCAGATCTCGAGCCACGGCAATACCCCTATACAAATCGGTATCAAATGCAAAAGCGTGCTAAGTATCAACTACTACACTAATCCAATTGACGACACTTTCAGTCTAATATCACTCGATCCATGAAGACACTATGTCTTCTTTAATGGAGGATTGTGTTTATTCTGTTACGTCAGACCAGTATAAAACCCTCACATTCCACACGCGGGACGAGAATGCCACCACCCCAAATACAGCCCGTTTCACGCAAGGCAACTAATGAAAACCGAGAATTCCAATCAAACGCGTAGAATACTAATATAAGCTTCACGCCCCATCCGTCCAATCCATCGGCCTTCGACAACAACGACTAGCACGACAACCGCGACGTATCGCCAATCGCCCACCAATCTATATCGACACCGACAACAAAAGCGAGGGCTAGGACTAGACGACAACGGCATTTAAAATGCACCTCACAACTCTCCTCTTGCTAGGCAGCACCCTCGCCTCGGCCCGCGAACAGTTCGGCCCAGGCCCCGAACAACTAGACTACCTGGCGCATATCGGGCAGGACCAGGGCCAGAACCAGAATCAGAACCAGAACCAGAACCAGGGCCAGAACTATGGTAACTACGACGACAACTATGGCGACAACTATCATAGTGACTATGACAACAACCCCAACTCAAACGGCTACGGTAACAGCCCAGGCACGAACGACTACTACAACCAGCCTGAAACCCAAGATGCCCCAAGTGCCCCGGCCCAAGCCCCGACACCTATGATCCACAGCGCATCAATGGCGTCCTCGGACGCCCATGCACCGGCAGCCCCGTCCTACGTGCCAATGGCTTCCTCCTATGCGCCTGTTGCACCTAGTTCCAAGCCACAGGTGCACTCGCACGCGCATTCCCATGCCTACCCTCAGACGCAGGCTCCCGCTCCTGGTTATGCCTATGCGTACCCTAGCCCGAGTGTTTCCAAGGTTCCTGTTGCGTTTGGGACCCCGAAGCCTACTCATGTGCCTGTTTCTCAGTATCAGGTTCCTCAGGCTCAGGCTCAGCCTAAGATGCCTCCTGTTCAGCAGGCTCCGGCTCCTGCTCCTCATCCCGCTACCCAGGGCCAAGACACAAACCCCCCAGCAAACGATGTCCCAGCCAGCGAGGTAGCCCCTGTCGACCCAATGCAGCCAGGGTCGAACATAGCACCCGTTACCTTGGGTGATACCACAAAACACGGCAAGGATCTGGGTAATGCTTTCTGCACGGGTATCTGTTATGAGAATGAAGCTGATGCGAACTGTCCGCCGCCTTATGTGAGTATATCTTCCCAATTATCTCCTTGAGGTATATGTGTTTTAAATGCCTACGATCTGGTTTGCTAATGGCTTTCTTCTTTCTTCTAGTCTTCGCCTGTTTATAAGAGTTCTAAGGGGTGCTATATGTGCTGCTTTACTGCTGGAGACTTTTAGAGTATTATCCAGCTGTAGGAGTGATGTTTATTCCGTTTTTTTATGGTTTCTTGACTAAATTTGGGAGTGTGGACCTCTTCTTCTTTTCATGTTCTTCTTTTTCATCTTCTTCAGTTGGTGGGATATATGTACTAGTTATTTCTGGTTCTATGTGCCGCTTTTTAAGCACTTGAGGATTATTTTCTAAACCTAACCTTGACACGCTTTAATCTACTTGAGTTCGCTGCACAGAATATCTCCTTTTCAAGAATACTCGCCTGTTACATGACGGAATAAAGACTTAAAATATGGTACCTTACAAGAGTCATTGCAAATAATATGATAAACCGAAACAGTATTGTTAACCCGACAATTTCTACCAAGTCAAAGATCTCGGGGGTTTGGGTCAAGATAAAACGAGCGACAATCACAGTGAACCCCCTTGCTGAACCTCCAGTGCTGACTTCAACTGATGGTAAATGAAAAGCCCTCCAGGGCTGGAGACACTGAAATTTGATCCAGTACCTCAAGACTAAGTTACCTCACACTTCAAGGTACTGCCAACTACTGGAGATGGGGGCACTGCTGAAACGCAGGACTAAAGGTGGTTGGGACCTTGTCGACAGTCAGCCAGCTGCGGAGCCAGCATGTAGTCGGCTCCTTCAAGGTTGCTTTGGTTTCCCAGATTGCTCGAGTGCAACCTTCAGTGTTCGAGCAAGCCTGGATACAGGCTTGGGCATTGGCAGTATTCAGAATGCGAATATTCGCAGCGCCCTAATCATCCAATGGGCATAAATTAGCTTTACTTAAGGACAAACGGCGAGCAAAACAAAACAAGAAACCAAGAGAGGAAAGCAAGCTGCGCCCCTTGGCCAACGTCTCGAAGGATATGCGAGGCACACGCCCTGTCACCGAGATGTCTACAGTACGCAGCGGCAACTGTGACAATTACGAAATCGTATGCAAGAGATGAAGATCTCATCTCCACCTGTTCAGTTTAATGGTGGGGTTTCCCTCCCACCATTCGCTTACTAGGTACTACCTTTGTTTTTATCGACAAAAGGGGATCATAGCTAGTTTGATATATAGAGCGTAGGGCAATAAAGCTTTGAAATCTCGATGTATAAGTGATCGCCGAACTAGTAGTGTATAAACAGCCTAGGATACTCGTATACGAAGTGAGCAGGGATCGGCGATGAAATATAATCGTGCGCGAGTATTCTGCCTAAAGTGGAATATTTGGGTTCTATCCACTGAGGTTAGACGCTTCTCTTTTTTCTCAATAATATAGTGATATATATATTTCCCTACTCTGTTATGGTTCCAAGTATTCCAATGAATGTTGAATTAGTGAGTAGAAAAACAATCTTGCAGCGCAAATAGAGCTCTACATTATACATAATCCACCGAGACAATGACTTCAAATATATACGGTACAGAGGGAGGTGTAATGTAACCCCCACAAATCACATGCCTAACAGACTATGTATCAGATAGAAACTCAGTGGAACCACATAATCCTCCTAAATTTAAGCATGAATTAGAGTAATAGTCTAATAGATTAATTACCTGGCTATATCTACTGTATCATGTCTTGTTCTAGAACTACACCCCGTGGACTCATACTCAATCCACATGTATATGTATCCAGTCTTACCTACCTGGATATTACTGCTAACAGAAACAGAAAAGCAATGAAGAAATGCTTTCAATTCAATGATCTAAAAACACGACATGAACGGTATTAGAGAACTATATATTCGCTACCAGGAACACTCAAGAAGAAAAAGAAATAAATCCATCACATCGTATATTTTCCGCTGGAGTCAGAAATCGCTCGACCCGAAAATGAAACCGATGGCAATCGAAATCAAAAGAGAGAAAAGCACAGCAAAGACAAGCCAAAGAATGAAACCCGAAATCTCTCAAAGTCCAAGCCATTGCATCTCATATCTCCTTCCCCAAATCAGACAACACCCCTCTTCATAGAAATAGGAGCAGACCGCTTCTCAAAAGAACCCTGTACCTGACCCTCTCCCCACACAGCACTGCTAGCAGGGAAAATAGAACCAGCATCGGCATCAACATCACCGGCGTCAGCATCGAAATCCGCAGACGCGATGCGCGGCACGACAAGCTCGACGCCCTTGGACACGCTCGTACCCGCGAAATAGGGGTTATGTCTGGGTGGAAGGGGACGGTGCGACTCGTACATGTACATACTGCCGAGGGAATCTGAGGCCGTGCTGCTGTAGGAGGAGGAGACGGTTGAGGGGGTGTCTGTCAATGATGGGACGTGGCAGTGGCCATCGACAATGGGAGCACCGCCGACCAGGGCGGGGAGACTTGCAGCGCTGCGGTTGTTGGCAGGGCGGTTGGCAATGCCAGTGCCGGTTGCGGACGCAGACGCAGACTCGCCGTGGAATTGGGAGAGATACGACCAGGCCTCGGAGGAGGCGAGGGATGAGCTTGAGCGGAGTAATACTGGCTTCCACTCTGTTGGGTCGAGATCTGATTTGGCGGTGTGGGATGTGGTTGGTATCCTGATTGAGGGGATGCGGGTAGGAGTCATTTGGGGCACGATTGTGCGTGGAGAGAGAGGTGGTGAGGTTGGGGGTGTTGTGGTCATTTTTGAGGAGGTCGACATTGACATTGAGGGAAGGGATGCTGAGAGTGGTTTGCAGGAGTCTTTGCGGCGGCAGCTGGAAAGAGAGAAGTATAAGTATATATGCAACTTATTATATGTTTGTTTCACATGCAGGTCCCAAAATAGGTTGTAGATAAGGACGGGGCTGGGATAACCCTAAATATAGGAATAGGAGTGATTTTTCGCCACATACCTTTCGCTGCAGTACAATAGGGTGTTGTTTGGTACGGTAATTTGTCTTTCGCACATGGCGCTGGTCGCTGTTAGTTTATTTCTTCTTTATCTTTTATGCAAAGGTCGGTGTGTATATGTACACAAGGATGACGGCATGTGAGGGTCGTCCTTGGAGATAAGGGAACATGGACATCAACATACCAAAAGTTCAAGAAGCTGGCCATGTCTTCGTCATCGGTGGGCTTGCTCGTTCCCCTTCCGGAGCCTAGTTTGGCAATGGAGACGTTGGCACCAGATGTTCCTCGTCGATGCAAGACTGGACGAGATCTGGGCTTTGAGGCATGAGGAGAAGAAGGAGAACGGCGGTGGACAGGAGTTTGAGTCATAGCGGTGAGACTTTCTTTCAAATGCCTCACTATCTTATCATGCGAGACGGTGTGGATCACAATCTCGAAATGAACCCCTTAAGGGAGCACAGACTGAGGGATTTGTGTCTGCAAGTCTTGATTTTGGCCGGAATGGAAGCTTGGGGGAATACAAGGGGACTCCGAGGTATGTATGTTAAACGTGGCGAAGAATGACTATGATAAGGTCAGTTTAGCTAGAGTGAAGGGGGCCGGAGGGTTATCTTTGTGTTATGAGTGGGGGGAGATAAGGCCGGATCGGGAATCTGAACACTTGACATACCTGTCACTGTATGATGTAGTGATGTAGTCTATAGTATTGTGTTTAATTGTGTTTAGTGTGAACTAGGAAAAAGGGAAGAGGGGTCTATATATAAGAGGGAACTAGAACTGGAGAAAAGATATGGTGGGATGAGATGGAGAACGTGCTGTTGCGGTAGGATGAGACGATCAGATCTAGAACTTCCAACGAACCCGGGTACCCTGGAAGTCACTCTTGGTCCGATCACCCGCCCAAAGAGTACCTCGTGGGTACAAAGACCCAGTCCACGCAATGGTCCGTTCTATAATTATATTCCGGTTTGGGTGTTTCTTTATTCCTCTCTATTGTCTCTATTGTCCGCTTCGAGAATATCTGTATAATCTTTGGAGCCATATCATAAAATCCCGGACCCTATCCTCTGATCACCTGAAACGCACAGATTCTGCAACGTGCCCTCTCTGCCAGGTTTACCTGCAGATGAGGTGCAGTAGCGCAGGGAGCATATCTCCGGAGGGGGTCGGATCTGGCGTGATTGACCACCCAATATTATTCATTCGATCATATTCGATTCTATTACTGCAAACCCACAGAATAGAATAATATTCAAGGTTATTGCGGCAGACCATGGTTAACCTATAGTATAACCCTAATAAGTGACGCCATAACGCCGCGAGTCGAACGTGTAACCAGAGGCAAACTGGTGGATAAACATACATCATCGAGACAGAGATTTAATTAAAAAAATCAAAACACAATATCCACCTAGAGGGTTCCTGCAATCGATTTTAATAAAATAGAAAATAGACTATCATCGAATAAAGAATAGAGAAAGGAATAATTGCCGGCAAAGGCGACAATCACGAAAATGGATCGGCCACGCGTGGATAAGAGATTAAGTGCCACACACACCACACACCACACTGACACGTTGCGAGGTCAATCTGTTCTGGCCAAATGCTAATTGTCGATCTTCCGTGTTTCTGTTTCGGGTCTATGGGGAAAAAACCGGGGACTTGTTCGAGAATGTTGGCTATGTAGATGTACGTGGACACTCCCGTCTCCAGTCGGTGGGTTAGGGCTTCAGGATTACATAGTTCATTACATAAATGCAGAGTCTTCAGGTGCTTCTCAGGTTGCATTGTTTAGACGTCAGACGATAACTCTCTCTTTCAAACCTAACCTAAATGACTTACTGTATTCCTCATGTTCTTTGGATCACGGCCGAGTTTCACCCCTGGAATTGCCATATAGGCAGACATTATAGGTATGGGTCGGGTCGATGACATCTGTCAACACATCATACACACACAAATCCCGTGCTAAAAAAAAAGTCTATGATCCGAAGTGGAGCAAGAATGATGTTGACGTTTTGAATGTCTTTGTCTTATTCTGGTCTCGATCCTGAGTGGGTATCTAGTAAATCATACAATAATGGACTATTTGTCCACGTCCATTGGCTCAGGCGCTGGAGCCTGGGCTGTGGGGGTTGAAGGGAGATCGCCATTCGCGGCAGCGGGCTTGGTTGGAATCGACTTGGCCTGGCCCTCTCCCTCCAGGGCGGGCGTTTTAACGGTGCCTGGGCCTGGAACTGGAACGGAGACTGGGCCTGGTTTGCCGGAAAATCGCTCGGGCACGCCGCGCGCGGCACCGTCGGCTGGGCCTACGAAACAGCCTAGCATCGAGCTCCAGATGCACCCTTCGGATAAGAGGCGGCGGATTTGACCATAGGCGTAGGAGTTGGCGTATGGGAGGCCTGTTTCGGAGTCGCGGTATCGTGATGGCATGGAGGTGATGACGCACAGAGATGACGAGATTTCTGTCGAGGTTAGCCCTATGGTTCCAAGTGTTATGTGATGTGTAGTATGTGGTGCAACGTACTTGTCAAACGGGGTTGCTTTTTGGAGTTAAAGTACATGCTATATTTGCGACTGTGAGCGGTCGCATGGTCGAAGTTCTCGAGGATGGTCAATGTGCGTCCGGTGTGTTCGATTACTGGAGGGGATGGTTGGATCGCTGGCTGTACTGGTCCCATCCCATTTGGGGGTTGTATTCCGGAATGCCATGTTTGTTGGTTTTGGGTTTGGAGGAAGGCGTTCTCGGGCACCGTGGCTGAACTAACTGCTGCAGTTGCCGAGATGTGAGGGGCCAGTGCAACTCCTGAGCCGACGTGAGTGGCAGGTTTCACAGGCTGTGAGGCGCCCGCCGGTGGTTGTCCTTCAGGAGTCGGCCCGGGTGCATCTGCTTTGGGTTCCTGTGCCGAAACTGGTTGGGCACCTGCAGTATCGGAAGGCGTTAAGTTTGCTTTGACCGGGTCTTGCGCTTGGTTATCCTTGGGAACATCTGCAAGCGCTGGAGGTTGGTCAACATCCATAGCATCGTCATTCTTGGCAGAGGTTGGCTCCCCCATTGTTTGAGCAGAGCCATTGTTTTGAGATCCCGATAAACGTTGAGATGCTGGGATTTCCACAGCAAAGAGTCTCTCCTCTGACTGTTTCGCGGATTCTGGCGCTTTTTCATTCTTCTCTGAAGGCTCCGTTGCATTTGCCTCCTTTTCTGGAGTTTGCTTTTCCACTGCGATGCTCTTGTCATTATCGGAAGGTATGGCTGCACTCGTCTGCGTCTCTAACGATGTATCAACATTGCCAGTCGTCCCAGCAGACGCGACAGGTGATTCTTTGTTTTCAGGAGTCGGGGTTGCGATGGTTTCTGGCGGCTTGTCCCAAGCCGGCCTTTGTTCCGTAGGAGTCCGGATGGGTTGAGCTGGTGTTCCCGGTGTAACAGGTGTAACAGTACTTGCAATGGGAAGGTTGGGGTTTGGTAGTGGTTGTGTTGGAGCCGCGAAAGGTGCAGGCCCGAAGACAGGAATAGACTGCAAGGCCAACTGATCCGCCGCCGCCTTTTCTCTGTCCTCCTTCTCCTTCTTTTTCTTCTTGGCCTCTTCTTTGTCTGGCTTCGGTTTAATATCAATCTTGCCGACCCGCGTGAGACGCCCATTGGTCCATGTAGCCATACCACTCCAGTAGGATATAACCGGACCATCCAGACGGCGGTTTTGGAGTGCCTCGATCCTCGCTCGTCTTTCATCCGCCTTTCTTCGTTCTGTCTGCTCCCAGCGGTTCAAACTCTTGCTGTTGAGCCGTTCCACTCTGGCGGCCTCCGCCAGGTGATCCTCCTGTGTCATCTTCTTCGGTTTCAGATGGGCCTTGCGCTTCTCAGCTTCCCTCATGGTAGCGATAATGCGCACCCGCTTCTCCTGGCTGTCCTTGAGACGCGCGTGCGTCATTTCCTTGTTCACCATCGTCTGACGACGCGAAGACTGCCGTGTAGGCCCGTCCTCCACTGTGGGAATCCATGAGATACGCTCCGACTTTTTCTTTGGACGAGGAGGGGCGGCGGGCACGGCGTTGACGGCGGTCGGATCAATCTTGACTCGCTTGCGTAGGGTCTGGAACCGGAGGTCATTCTGCAGTTTTCTTTTCTTGCGCTCTTCTTTTTGTAGTTGCTGTTCGCCCTCGTAGTCGTTCGTCGCGTTGGGTCCTTGGTCGTCATCGTCGTCCGACGATTCAAGTCCTTCGTCTTCCTCTACTTCAGGATCTACCTCGTCCGCGAATTCGTTGTCGTCTTCGACTTCCTCAAATAGTAGTGCCAGGTCGTCGTCTGCGGCGGCTTCAAGGAGAGCGGACATGTGTAGTCCCGCTGTGCTTCGTTTCGCTCGCCCTCTGACTAGGGACTCCACGGATACCTCCTCCTCGGAGGACTGCATCCCAGACGATGGGTCCTCTTCCATCATGTCGGTCATATTGCTGATGCCGGTAGCGCACAGTTTAGGATGGCTGTTTAAACATCGGACGCGGGAGGGGACGCGCACGCGATAGACTGTGCCCGGATGGGAATGTAAATTTGTATATTGTCGTTGGTGATCGTGGTTTGAAGCTACACAATAGTGAACGAGAGATGGAAAGTAGCCGTTGCGGCAAGTCAAGGAGCTTGAACGCGAAAGCGAAGTTGCGGCCTCAGGCACCACAATCCTAGCCAATGACCAGAACTAACGTGTCTCTAAGATCTCTAAGTTGACCTTAGAACGATCTCAACTACACTACATCCCTCTGCTCAGGCTTATATAGCACTTAGTGACTTTCGATTTCTCATGACTACTCTCCATTGCTCCCATCGACTACTAATGGTTTCTACTAGGTTCCACAGCTCCTACCGCGCGAACCTCTCGGTTCATCCGCTCGTGCCGATGCCTGGTAACTTGGCAGGGCTGATGACAACTGCAAATCTCAAGATTGGCAATGATATGTCCAAACGACGTCGTCTAGTTACAGTATACCTTGAGAAACGAACAGGCGATGAGAACTGGAAGGATATGTACCCATCCCTTGCGCGGACCATCACCGTCTCCCGGCGTGGTTTCAAACCCTCTCCTTGCGTGGATTGCATCATATCGTATACCCCGGGTTGACATCTCTGCCTTCAAGTTATGTGTAGAGTCGAGACATGACGCATTGGAATGCGGGGCTTTGTGTTTCCACTCTCTCGCTTCTCCCAGATTCTTTCGGAACAAAAAGCTTGAATTGAGTCTGATAGAATGGGGTTATAGACACTTGGGAACTGGTCGGACTGTCTGGACTGAATATCTTCTTCTAGATGGAGTGTTTCAGAGGCTGTTGCCTGGTTCAGGTCTCGGAACTCCATGGTATGGGGCTGTGCCTCCAACTGCCAATGTCTCTGTCGGATCCCGATATATAGCATGGAATATAGAGGTCAATGAATGGCCTATGAAGAGTAGGCAGATAGACATAGAGCAAAGAGCCATGAGATGCCCCTAGAAATATACAGACTACAAACCCCCAAACAAGCAATAATCAGTAAATCAACAATTGGATTGTGGATGAAGCTGAAGAGGGCCACTCCACCAACCACATCTTCCTCGGGCATCCGGCCTCCTCTCTTCTCTTCTCCTTCTCTCCTTCATCCTCCCTTGACTTTCTTCACGTCTCTTTCTTTTTTGTTTTGCATTCTAACGAATTCAACTGTTGGTCTTTTCCTTTCTCTCCGCTCTCCGCTCCGCCTCAACTAATTCCATCCAGCCATCCCTTTCGGATCATCCTCTTCCATCTTTCTTTTGGCTTTGTGCCTGCATTTCCGTTTTTGAGCCTTTGACCACTTGCGCCATAGAAGGTGTCCTTTTCTTGGCTTAACTCGATCGCTTTGGGACACCTGCAGATTGTCATACACGCACAGTCAAACGGTGAGATTATCATCCAGGACCCTGGATACTGCTGTTTTTGTCAAGGATTCAATATCGGTATGAGATTCCCCCACATTCTTCCATCTCTCGACATGTCTCTGGCGTGGTGGAAGTGCTTCGTCAACCCCTCCCATCCGCCCCAAACGTTGCCAAACACCGCTCTTGGAAACGTCAACTAACACCGACTTCTATCTTCAGATTCTCCTCAATCCTTCAACGCGCCATTCCTCCGAAAGTATCCGATCACTCGAGCCCTTCTATGCTGGTGCCACACACTTGAACAGGCAAATCTACCACGTACCTTGCTGGTCCATTCTTGGCACTCGCACGGTCTTAGATTCGGAAAGAATTGGGCACTGCCCAACTGAAGGCAGAAGGATCATCCATAATGTTACCTGTGTCGCGATCTGAACAAATGAGTTTCAACTACATCCCAACCACCCAGCCCATGTCGGGTACCTCGACGGGGCGCAGCTCCCCGAGTGATCTGTCTGGCTCCGGCTCTGGAGGCGGAAGAACGCCATTCGGACCTGCTCCGGGATCGATTGGTAGTTCGAGGCCAGGGGCTGGATCCCCTTCACACGACTTGGGAGCGCGTTTGTACTCAAAGCGGTAGGTTGATTCCGGTGGATATGAACGGGACTTGACTGACTCTCCGACAGAGCTCGCGAAATTCAAGCACAAGAGGGTGTTTCTCCCAGCATTTGGGGACCTCCCACCAGCGGCCATTCAACCCCGCTTCGCGAGAATATTCCCGAATCGCCCAGCCAGGATAGCTTCCCCGATCTGATGCCTACTACCAGTAGCTCAATGAACAGCCCCGGACGCCGCGCCCGTGCTGGAACTGTGCCTTCTCGTTTCCCTCCAATGGGCACTCTCAACGAAATGGATCTCCAGCAGCCTTTGCTCTCGCAGACTTCACGACCAACACCCTCGACTAGTCCTTTCAGACCACCTGTCTCGGGAATGGATACTGGCACCAAGGTTGCGAGCACTGCTGCTGGCCGTGACCCAGCCATGTTATCACGCCTTCGAGCTGGCTCGATGCCGCAGAGGAGCAGTCTTTTGGGAGGCGGCGGTCCTTTCGGCCCATCCCTGTTTTCAACAAACTGGTCGACGGGACGTGAGAGAGCTACCACTTTGACTAGTATTCGATCTTCGGAGGGGCCAACTTCGCCCAGTCATTCTTCATTCTCCAGGGACGGACTCGCGGACACTGATGTTAAGACGCTGGATTACCTTGGACTTGCCGAGACTCCTCAGCAGGCGAGAGCCTCTCTTGCGCGCCCCTCGATGGAATCTTTGATGCAGCAGCAGCAACAGCAAGCTTCTGCGCTTCCGCCACTCCTGGCTGAGTTGGCAATGATGAAAAACAACAATCGGTTCCGGTCTTACTCTGTCAACGCCAAGGAGAAATACGCCGATGACGAGGATCTCGAATATGAAAACCGTTACTCTCAACTACCCTCCGGTACTCTGACCCCATCCGCTGCTGCAACCGCCGCTCAACTTGCTGCCACCCAGGCCCAGATTCACCAGCACAATCTTGCCGTTCAGGCATTTGCCAACCATGCATCTGTGAGCAGACCTCGTGCTCGGACTGCTGGTATCTTGGAGGCTCCTTCCCAGCGAAACAACATCCGCAATTATCTCGCCACTCCCTCCCGCCTCGACAACAGCTTCAGTGCTGCTGATCTGGGTATCCCCGAGAATGGCGAATACGATGACCTGTCCGAGGCTGTTCAATTGATGGGACTCGGCGGTTCAGCTCATCCCATGGGTGTACGACAGGGCGAGATCGCGGATGAGAACAACCAGGATGGTCCCACTCGGGCTCTGTGGATTGGCAGTATTCCCGTTTCTACGACTGTCACGTCTCTGGAAGCGATCTTTGGACTTTACGGCAAGATTGAGTCGACTCGTGTTCTCACGCACAAGAACTGTGGATTTGTCAACTTTGATCGTCTCGATAGCGCGGTCCAAGCTAAGTCACTGCTCAATGGCAAGGAAATTTTCCCAGGTGCTGGACCCGTTAGAATTGGGTACGCCAAGGTTCCTGGTGCTTCGGCAACCGGTACCCCTGGTGCGAATGGCATCCAGTCTTCCCCGACTCCTGACCCTAACTTCCGTTCACACCTCGCATCTGCAGATGGAACGGATCGTGCAGACAACGTCAACAGTGTCCCTCAAATCCCAGCTTTGGCTGATCTCCTTCCCGAGATGGTGCAAATCGTGCAAGAATTTGGTGCTGGTGAAGAAGATTCTGCGAATATCACGGCCAGCATTCAGACTTCTATCGCCTTCCAAGACTTCGAAGATGAGATTCCCTCAATTCCAGAGCCCAGCCAGTCCCGGATGTTTGATGCACCTCGTCTTCGTGACATTCGGAAGCGAATTGATAATGGTGCTTGCTCGATTCAAGAGATTGAAGAGACTGCTGAAGCTATGCTTCCTGAGATTGCCGAGCTTGCTTCTGATTACCTTGGCAACACTGTTGTGCAGAAGTTGTTTGAATTCTGCTCGGAGATTACCAAGGAGCAGATGTTGAGTCACATTGCGCCTCATCTTGCTGAGATTGGTATTCACAAGAACGGTACATGGGCTGCGCAGAAGATTATCGATGTTGCAAAGACCCCTGCGCAGATGCAGTTGATCGTTGATGCCCTCCGTCCCTACACTGTTCCCCTCTTCTTGGACCAGTACGGAAACTACGTTTTGCAATGCTGCCTCCGATTTGGCAACCCCTTCAACAACTTCATCTTTGAATCTATGCTGAGCCGGCTATGGGAAGTTGCTCAAGGCCGATTTGGTGCCCGTGCCATGCGGGCTTGTCTGGAAAGCCACCACGCTACCAAGGACCAGCAGCGCATGCTTGCAGCTGCTATCGCTCTTCACAGCGTACAGCTGGCTACCAATGCCAACGGAGCTCTTCTCCTCACCTGGTTCCTCGATACGTGCACATTCCCCCGCCGCCGAACTGTTTTGGCTCCGAGACTTGTGCCCCACCTTGTTCACCTCTGCACTCACAAGGTTGCCTATTTGACCGTTCTCAAGGTGATCAACCAACGCAATGAGCCAGAGGCCCGTGACATTGTTCTGAAAGCCCTTTTCTTCAGCCCCGGCGACGAAGTTTTGGAAAAGATCCTGAGCGACCAGACCTCTGGTGCAACTCTGATCTTCAAGGTCCTGACTACTCCATTCTTCGATGAGTCTATGCGATCCGAGGTGGTCAAAAACGTGTCCAAGGTTCTCACAAAGCTCAAGGCTTCTCCGAGCCAAGGCTACAAGCGTCTTATGGACGAGGTGGGTCTCTCCTCGCGGGGCAGCGGCCGTGAACACCACCATGGACGGGAGCACGGAGCCGGCCATGGCACTCCCGAGAAGTCGCAACGTCAATCCTCCCGACAGGGAAGCACAGCCGGCTACCCGGCCCAACCTTCGATGGATCGCCAGTATAATGGACAGTTTAATCCCAACATCGACTCCCGTCCCATGACTGCCGACCAGGCCAACCCTCCCATGGACCCCTACGCAAGCAACGGACTCAACGGCCACCTGAGCGGTTTCCCCCACCCCAATCAAGACCCCGTGAACCACCAGTATCAGCAGCTGCAATACCAAGCCTACATCAACGCCCAGGCCCAAGCCCGTGGCCTTCCTCCCACCTACGCTGGCACTCCAGGCGGCAACTATGGATACCCCGGCTCGCCGGCCATGGACAACCTACGATCCCTGTCACAGCAGGCCGTCCCACTGTCCGCCTCCGGCCAGATGCTCAGCCAGCCGAATTACCAGCAGTTCAGCCCCGGTCCAAACCCTCCCCAGATGTATGCGCAGTTCCCCCCACAATACTATGCCCAGGCCCAACCCGTGCAGAGCCAGCCAAGCGGAGGCCGACGTGGACGGGTGAGTTCTTTCTCGGATCGTCCGTGATCTCGTATCTCGGGGAACCGCCTACTAACATCCATCTGCCTGCCGCTAGCGTTGATCTTTGATTCAATAATTCGGTTCTGGTATGCTGTTTAATCAATCTTCCATCTACATGTACAAATTTTCTTGATCATCTTTTTTCTCTTTTTTTATCATCTTTCTCATTTACAGTCTCATTTCTATCAAGTTTCGATCAGAGACAATACGCTTTTTCTTCTTCTTATTTTTTTTTTTTTTTGTTTTGTCTATCTAGCTATCTCTTTGTTCGTTGTGGATTCACGCTTCTTCCCTTTTCTCTGCCGCCTGAACGGACGCTGGTTCGCCGCCAGGGGAATATGAGATAGGAGCAAGAACGAGAAGAGGACTTGGATTCGGGGGTCTTGGGCATTCACGGGGATTTTTGGTGGTAAAAAAAGTCTTATTGATTGGGAGACCCTGTTTTTTGTATCTTTTCAGCGTTTTTTTGGATGACCATGTATCTTTGTGATCTAACGATGGGCCTCTTTTCTTTCGATCTGTTGTTGCAAGATCTAGGTGTTGGCTGAAGATTAGCAATCCATTTTATGCATGCTTTTCTTTCTTGGTAGATGTAGAATTCTGTGATTGAATCGTAGATTGGCACTGGCAAGTGATTGTAGCCCGAGGACCCGCTTGATATTACATCCAAAATTATTGTCATGATAGTATCGCCACTCGATCAACTGAACAAAGAGTCTCACTTTTCTATTTTAGAGTACAACTACGTTTTGCACTATACTGACACAGTTTTCAACACAAACCACTGAAAGATGTAATTTCCTGCACTCGTTTCCTCATTCATCTAGTCAGCAAATCGTAACCCCAACTCGATTGGAGCATTAACAATTTATTACGACATAAAGACGCATGAATCATCTGATTCTCCTAAGAAAGGCAAAAGAGAGAGAAAAAGAAAAAGAGCATTATCCTGTCTGTTAATCTAGATCCTGTCGGTCGATCACCCGATCAGCCTTCTACATCCAAATTGGATGGAAAGAGAATAGCTCCTTATCGAACCATAACTATGATTGGGCAAATTTTAGAGCCTTGGGTTGAATCCACATTGCTGTTTGCCACTCTGGCCCGTCGGTTTCGTGACGATTCGCCTTTACTGGCTGCGCGGGAGAACCTGGTTGCCGCGGCACTCTATAAAGGACCTTGGGATATTCAGCCGAAACGTACATCAGATCTCAACAATCTTCTCACAAAATTCTATCTTTCCGATGTTGTCTTCCTAAACTCTCGCGGCTACCAGCAGACAAAGATGGATGGTAACCAAGTTGAAGACACTTGGTAGCTTTTTGGACCAGCTTTTGGACCTATAAGTTTACTCACGCTCAATCTTAACCGCTCTCAATATCGACCACTGTCGACTTACATGCCCTCAGCCTGTTGGCTGCTCGCATTCGTTCAATAGACGTCCACGAAACAGCCTCAAACCCTCCTATGGCTTATCCAGGTAGGGTGGTGGCAGAACGGGAGGGTCTGACCCGTGACAGTGAGTGCTTCCATCCATGTAAAAGGCTTTCATCTAGGTTGCTGGCGATCTAGTGGTACACCCCGACGTGGAACTGGCGGCGACGCCCTAAACGAATTTTATGAAGATACGATATGACATGCAATATGATCCTCGCGATTTTCGTCGCCTCAGACGCGAGGTATTGATGACCGAATAACTGTGCCATGTATGCTAGGATGATAGCTATAGTGATGCCTAAGCACCTTTTGCCATTTTTAATCGCGTGACTCTCGATTGGATACATTGACAGCCGCGGTTCGCGCCGTCTCGGCTTTTTGCCTGTTACAATACACGCTTCCCTATCGTTGGTAGGCGGGTATTAAACAGACGGAAATTACTATTGGTGCATGGCGGAATACTTACTTTGGCTGTCTCCGATCTGATCTGGTGGTGTTATTGCTTGACTCGGTCGATGTCCTCCTCGCAGCTAGGGCCAGAATAATAACCCGACTAACCATAGGCCAAGGTCGACCCTTATAAGCAGTTTTCTTTCTCAGTTAAGGCTGTTAAGGTTCTCTCCTAACTATACCACCTACTCGATTTGATCATTTTGTTTATTTAGAATCATATTTCCCGTGGTAGGCCTTTCTCTACGTGGAATCTTCGCTAGGGGACCTTACGGGAAAGTCATTTTGATAGCGACATCTAATAGCTTTGCCGACCACGAGGCCCACTATCAAGCCTCTAAGCACAGTTCAGAAATTACTACCAAGCCTTTCAAGCTTTTTCTAAGATTATCTAGCTAAGGTACCGATTTTCGTAGGCATGGTTGCTAGCCGGCTTAGTATGGTAGTGGTTTATCCGGGTGCGGCTGGAAGATAGGAGGATGTGCTTCGTGATATTGGCGACTACATTGAAAATCTAAATGACAGAAAGGAGCCATTTTCTCACCGGGTCAACTTCTATTTATTAAGCCATTATGAATACGCGTGCAGGATCTGCTGCGACTAGAGAAGGGTCCCCAAAACTGGCTCGGCTGAAAAACCGGCATCTCAAGGTCCTCAGGGCGACGGCAAACCCGAACAGACCTCGCCCATCTAGCAGGTTTATAAAACGGACATGAAAATCCTATTCCTGGTAGCTTGCCCTTCACAGTAATTGCTCAATTTCCTTTGGTCTTTCGGTTTCTGGCTTGTGCCTGTTCCTGGCTCTCAGCCTCACGCCAGATTTCATATCACATTAGGGCTCCATCAGTATCTGGACAAGGTCAAGAATAAGTTCACTCGTTACAACCATCACCATGTCCGACTTTGACCCGCACAATGTCGACCTCGACACTGTCGACGCCGCTCAGATCACCTGCTACCTCAACAGCGAAGGAAACGAGTACGACGGCCGCCTAGGCGCACGCATCTCGGCCATCTTCGTCATTCTCATCGTCTCCTCCGCCGCAACATTCTTCCCCGTTCTCGCCAAACGTCTCCCCCGTCTACGCATCCCACTCTACGTCTATCTATTTGCCAAATATTTTGGCTCCGGTGTCATTATTGCCACAGCCTTTATCCACCTCCTAGACCCGGCTTATGATGAAATCGGCCCTGCCTCCTGCGTCGGCATGACAGGCCACTGGGCCGATTACTCCTGGTGCCCCACCATCGTTCTCACCTCGCTAATGATGGTCTTCCTCCTCGACTTCGGCGCAGAGCGTTACGTCGAGAAGAAATACGGTCTATGCCGTGACGACCCCGAGCCGCTCATGGCCCAGGGCGTCGAAGTAATCCAGCACCAGCTTGGTCTGCGCCGGTCAAACTCAAACTCGCACTCACACTCACACTCTTCGTCAGCACTGGACTCAAAGGACAAGCAGGCTAAAGAAGTCGAAGCCCAGTCTTTAGAGGAAGGCGCACTCGACCGTTCATTCCGCCAACAAATCTCCGCCTTCCTCATCCTCGAGTTCGGCATAGTCTTCCACTCTGTCATCATCGGATTGAATCTCGGCGTGACTGGCAACGAATTCCCAGCGCTATACCCCGTCCTCGTCTTCCACCAATCCTTCGAGGGTCTCGGTATCGGCGCACGAATGTGTTCCATCCCATTCAGGAAGGAGAGTTGGCTACCTTGGGCGCTGTGTGCGGCGTACGGATTGACGACCCCTATTTCTATTGCAATTGGTCTTGGTGTGCGGACGACGTATAACCCGGGCTCGTTTACGGCGAATGTGGTCTCGGGTGTTTTGGATGCGGTTTCTGCAGGGATTCTGATCTATACCGGTCTTGTGGAGTTGTTGGCGAGGGATTTCTTGTTTGATCCGCATCGGACACGGGATGATAAGAGGTTGACCTTTATGGTTGTTTCGTTGTTGCTGGGTGCTGGTATTATGGCTCTGTTAGGGAAGTGGGCGTGATTTGCTCACTTGGTCTTGTCTGTTACTTCTTTTTCCGAGGAGACGTGTGAGATAAATTTTTTCGAGCGGTGATTGAGATGCTGTCGTGGATATATGGAAGAAAACCAGCCTATAGGGGCAACAATCAGGATTGCTTGCAATAGCGGTGTTAAGGACACTGTCTTATCGAAAAGCTAAACAGCTTCGTTAATGAGCTCAAGTCCCACCTACGTGAATGTTACAAGTGGCAATAATTCGAATGTTTAAATACATGCTTAATTGATCCACGGAGATTGTTCTAAACTCCTGAGCCGTGAACTTTGAGCTTCGCCTGGTAAGGCCTGTCGTAGCCTTGCTGCCGTTTGTGACGTTAGGATGCGATGGCGCGGCTGTAAAGGATTTAGGAATGAGACGGGTAGCAACTGTTTGAATTTGGCTGTAGTTTTGCTAGGAACCGTGAGAACGCTAGTAATGCCGAGTTCAGGGATCTAGGTAACAGTTGTTGTAGAATGCGGGTTTGTTGCGGGTTTGGATTGCCGGGCGTTTTCTTGTCCTATTCTCGAGCTGGAATAGTGGCGGTTAATTGTGGAAACGGCGGTGAAGATCTTTAACTATGAGTGCGGCTTTGATAGATGAGATAGGTTTGCGTGTTATGGCGTTGACTACGGCGGGGACATCGTAGGATGCTAGAGAACAAAGGTATATGTTGGTTGTTGGCTTTAGGGTGGTGGGTGTCGGTTAGAGAAGTTGAGGGGAGTAGGTTGGTCGAAGTAGTTGCGATTCTGAGTGGAGTATGATGGGTGACTGTTTAGCACGGGAGTCGAGGTTATGTTCGAACATTCCTCCACTATGGTAGGTACCGTTTGGTGTTAATCTATTTTAAGACCGTGCACTAGCATCTAGGGTAATTGTACCGTGTTGTTCTCTATCCGGAGAAAGATAGGGGCTAGGAGTTGACTGTCTCGCGAAGGGAATACGGTAGTTGAGTGGGGTGATATGTCGTGGTTTTCGTTTTCGAAGTGATGTTTTATGTCACGATAGATGACCTGCTAAGTGCAGTTACTGCAACTATTCGAAAGGGATGCACTAGAAGGTCACTAGTAATAGCTATTATAGTAAGGAAAAAAGTCAATCCTTTATACTTCTAGAAAGAATATAAGAATAAATTCCTAATTCTCTTAAGTGTTACTCGCGATATTCTCTATTCCTATAATAGGCGCTAGAGTTAAACGTCTTTTTAATTTAGCACACGATATCTACTACTACCGGCGTAGGCGGCTAAATACGAAGATAGTCTAGGATATTATAATATTTTAGTGTAAAGCCTAGTTCGATATTAAACTTAAAGAACTACCTAAGAAGGATATCTCTTTAGATTCTCCACATAACAATGAGACGGTGAATAGCAGGCCAGAAAAGGCCGCTTCGGGGGCCGTTTTAAGCCTCCCATTCACTGGCGACGGTCTTGGCGTCACGTGTATCTAAGGCCACGGCCAATGTGACCTACTGCCACTTTCCTCTCTTTTTGGCCGTTGCATGGCGCCTAGCCCCGCAGCGACCTCACTGGAGTGTCGGCCGTTCCTGGTCCCACTCGTGATACTGCGGCTGCGAGCCCGTTCCAACCAGGGTCCGGAAAGAAGGAGCCATTCTGGCTCCCCTTTCAGCACCTTTTGAGCACCTTTATTCCCTAGATTCCATAAATATCGACCGCCATGACTCCCGAATTTTCATTCTTTCTTCCCGCTCGCCAGCGATCTTCTCATCATCCAATCTGTTTCTCCGGCAGAACCCTGGTGTTTCGAGTGGATTCTATACACCCTTGATCAGTTCCCTATTCCCTGCCGGACACTGCTCCCACATCATGCCTCGCCTTTCACGTCCTGATTTGTTAGACGATGAGAGCGACGCGAGCTCAGAACTGCCTGAGATCTTCTCGAACGAAGCCTCAGAAACCGATTCGGCCACCACATCTGGGAATTGTGATGACGAGGATGAATCGGAGTCCGAGGATGACTTTCCCATGGAAGACGAAGAGAAGCAGCTTCCACCGGAGCACTATCTCCAGGAGGCAGAATGTCTCGATGTCTCCCAGCTTCGGCAAAAACGCTACAGCCCAAGAACCCAGGACAAACTGGATGAGACGCGGGACTATTGGGACAGGTGAGAGCGCGCCATTCCCATGGTTTCTCCAATTGCATTTGGTTAATTATTCCAGGTTTTGCGAGGGCGGAAAGCGGGACCCTGTGGAGTGTTTCTTCTGGCTCTCTGACACAGAGGAGACGATCCGTTTTTTGAAAGCTCTCTTTTCCTGGCGCTGTGATCAGCGGAGGGGGAAGAACGGGCGACGCACGCCGGGACTGAAGTATAAAAGCTCGCTCGAGACATTCTGGAAATGGTGGCATCTGGTCTACAAGGCTGGAGTCGGGCATGGACTTAGTAAAGATACGATCGTCAAAATCGAGGATGTGAGTTTGTTGGTCCGCTAATCGGTCAGATTGATCTGTTTATGGCTGACAGCCCATAGGTGCTTGCGATAGTTGCGACTGAGAAAAATCTCTGCTTCGATCGGCGACCGAAAGCGACCATGTATATTGAAGATGTGGCCGAGTTTGCTCGTGTGGTACTGTCTACGACGGAGATGACTTTCCCTTGTGGCTGGTACCGGGTACAGCTCCTCCTGTACTGTCAACTGGCCGCCATCACCGGCAGCCGGCCTGGAGCGCTCTTGAACCTTCGTTACCGGGACCTCATGTTGACCCTGGTACGAGACCCAAATGGCCATCGTCCTCGGCTTTTCATTTATATGAGGCCGGAATTCACAAAATCATTTCTTGGCAAGAAGGAGTCGTAAGAATATTCCCCTAACCCCGAATCCCTTCTTTATATCCATGGTTCTTTTCACCTTGCCCTGTCGTTGTCCTTCCGTTCCTCTTTTACCCTCCTCACAGCGATATGATTTCGAACCAGGTCAGCTTAGCTGATTGCAATAGGAATACCTTCCCTATCCCGGAGATCATTTTTGATCCTACGCTGGTCCTTAGCCCGCACATTTTCTTGTTGGGCTTGCTTTTCCGAATCGGGGCATTCAAGACTCTTTCTAAAGACGGTCGCGTGATGAACTGTCCAGAAAATTTGTATAGTCTTCGGGTTTTGAATGGACTTGGTCAGCAGGAGTTGAAGTTGAGACCGGAAATTCTTGATCAATATGTTTTTTGTCACGCATTGAGAGAACCCAATGGGATTCGAATTGCTCTGGAACAAAATCTGACAGGCGGCTGGCTACGTTATCGCATGAAACGTGGGGGCGAAATTACGGGTTTTGAGGAGGTCACGAAGCCCTATGGCCTCCGGTATGGCGCAGCGAAAGCATTCAATGATAGTCGTGAGTGGCCCTTTTTTAGACTCTGCGCTTCTTGACTAATAACTTCATACTATACAGCGGATGTGTCAAATGAACTACAAAATGTGATGCTACAGCATGCCAGCATTGACACATTTGTTCGGCACTACAGTGTTGGTATTCACGTTGATGCTCAGGCAATTGTCCGAGGCATGCCCGCTCAGAAGCAGCTCATGCGTTTTGCCTGCTCGATGAGTCGGTCTATCGATCCGCGCAGGCCATATAGGCTAGAAGATTCGAGCTGTGTCAATCAAATCCCACGTGTGATTGCCATGGAAGAGTTCAAGCAAGCACGAGAGCAGGCCCGGGACGTGAAAAGACGGACGTTTGAAAATGCTCAGTTCGCTCTCCAGCGCGAGTTTGGTGATGATCCTCCGCAGGAAGGGTCAGTTTCCCGCCATCTGCAGAAACTCCACAGACGATGGGAACTGCGAACGAAAAACGTGGACAACTTACGCAAGAAATTTGAACGTGCAGAGGAGCAGTATAATCTTGCTGTACGTGATTTGCGGAACGAAAAAGGACGACAACGCAATCGCTTGATCCGTGAGAACTTGGAGAGGTATAAGAACGAGCAACCGGTGATCGACAGCGAACGGCAACTGTCCGGAAAGATGGTCGACGAAGAAGTAAAGGTCGCTTTAGAAAGTACCGGCTATATGACACCACAGCATATGACCCTTATCGACACCGTCCTGACGATGCCGGGTACGACGGTTGAGAAAGAGTATGAGCGTCGAATTGCTGCAATCAATGCAGTGATTGCGGTATGTGATGCAGAAGAGGGCGCACCCTCGCGGCCTACTGTCACCCAAAAACGCTCCGCCGATGCTGCCAATATGCCACCAGCTGCCTCCTTGCCTAAAAGGAAGAATCCAATCCATTCACATAAGAGCGACGATACTTTTTCCGAGGCTATCGCTTCGGTTTGCGTCAAATCTCCAACAGAGAGACCAACGATCTGCTTTATTTGCCTTGGTAGCCCTAGGCTGCCACAAAGCGATCGCTTGAGAATGTACAAGAACTCTGGATCTCTGAGCCGACACTTCGTCAACAAGCATATCAAGCCGTTTCCAAATGACATGCGCTGTGAGTGCTCTATCTGCGGGGAGAGGTTGGAGTCAAAGTCTGCGTTACTGAACCATGCGGAAAGGGTGCATGGAACTGTCTCCCGCTCTTCTAAAACAGCCCTTGGTATGGCATAAATACGAAATAGTCTCCGTTTTCTCACTTCGTGAAGATGTTACCGGAGTTCAGGGTTAGGAGCGCGATATTTGTTGTCTTAACTGGGATCCATAGACTTATTTAGGTTTTGGTAGAGCTGGTCTTTGCCGTGTGACAAGAATGTTTGATCTTCGCTTCCACAAATTTGGTCAATCCCGGGTAAAAGACACTTTGTAGTCACGGAGTATGACCACATGTACTGTATCAACTTTCTCGTGTTGTGGTCTTCATTCCTTTACTGGGTGTAGCCGTTCTAAGCATAAATCTCGTCTCGTGGCAGGCCGCGTCTTTCCTTTATTTTCCCGAGCCACAGTTTCCTTGAAGCCTCAAACTAGAGATAGTGTTATTGACGGACCGACGAGGCCACCAGTGCACATGTCTGTGCTTTATTTCTAGGTCTTTGGTATGGGTTGCCTTCTATTTTTGAAGCCTATAAGCAGTCGCGAATTACGAGTCCGAATCATGCAGGGGTAGTATGGTATCACAGCTAAGGACTAGATTGCAAGTGACAAGTAAAACGGGCATCGGTCTCCGGGCGTCTTCCATATGGCGTTATACACCCCGTACCTTACAGACAATTTAACGTTGTTTGCCTGGATACTGGATACTACTAAATTGTAGTATCGAGGACGACCAATTTGATAATAAGATACTTGATCTGATGATCTTATTGAAATGATCCACAGATTAACTTACGGAGACCGTCTACGTAATCGCGCCAGGCCCATCAACACCCTCCCGGTATTGAAGCTGTGTGGGGTACGATTACTGTATGTTACAACAAAGTTATTCCGGTATGGTGCAGATTACCATACAAAACATACAGCGTTGTTGGCGCGTAATGAATAACCAAGTGTGACAATACGGTGCGGGGAACTACAGAATTTTTCCATTCCAAGTTGACACCGCCTACCCTGAGCCCACCCTGAGCACACCCTGAGCCCACCCCTGAGCCCACCCTGAGCAAACCCTGAGCAAACCCTGAGCAAACCCTGAGCCCACCCTGAGCAAACCCTGAGCCAACCCTGAGCCAACCCTGAGCCAACCCTGAGCCAACCCTGAGCCAACCCTGAGCCCACCCTGAGCCAACCCTGAGCCCACCCTGAGCCAACCCTGAGCCTATTCCCATCCACAAATGAGGCATCCGCGAAATTGAGTTCTGTTCGTTCCGTGCTCAAGTAACACATAGCAAATACAAATTTCTATGTACTCACTGTTCAAGTTCAACTTTTTAGATTCTGGTTTGTATTGGGTTTTGCTATACTTGTTGTTAAATTTTGTCTATATCAAGACTATAATGTTCTTTGATCTCAATCTGCTCAACTTGAAAATATGCGGCCTTACAACATAATGTTGTTTACCATAAGATCCAGTGAGCTACAAGAAATAGACGTGGTCACGCTTGGACAGAATGGTTCGCTATGTCTAGATTTCTTAACATTTGTTGCATACGGGGCTATAAACGCAATTCACACTACAAGAGAGCAGAGCAGCTCTTGCGAGAACGACTAGATCGTCCCTTGGGCGATGCTTGGCCGCCAACAGTTGTTGCTACTGGATTTTAGCAAAATACGATACGTAGTTAGCAAAACTTACATTTTTTAGAGAATTAATCGATCCTGCCGTCTCGGTGGCGGATAAGAAATCCACCGCAGCGGAACCAATTGGCCAGCGCTCTAGATCATTCACGCCAACAACGCCTTCATCTTTGTCATATTTCTGCATGAGCCGCATCGTGATTGACGGAAGCGCGGCAATATATGCAGCTTCAGATTGCTGCGACGTGCAATCTACACAAAATTCTAGAGACGCTGCCATTTGTTAGCCAGACAAAGCAAGAGAGGTTCACCAACCGACCTATTTTGATGGTCCCGTCGATCCCGAACAATATCTCGTCACACGCCAGAGACTGATGCGCAAGGCCAAATAATGCTAAATAGCAGGCGCCATCGAGGATCTAAAAAGTCAGAAGAGCTCATCAAACAGGCTATGACGGGCAAACCTGGCACATGATGGATCCCAATTCTGCTTCGCTGGGATAAAGTGTGGGAGAAATCACAACATGCGCGAGGGTCAACGGCAAGTCGTCAACCAAAAAGAACGCAAGCTCGTCGTGCATATAGCATTCATGCAAGGTGAGGACGTTCCTATGCTCGAGACGCCCGAATTTGTGGATTAATCTTTGAGCGTTCTGCCTCCGGTATGTCCGGATGGCAACCATGCGAGATGGACGGGTACGGCGCGTGGCAATCGTAACTTTCCCGGCAATCTCATATGTAATTACCTCCCGATAGGTATCCCATGGCGACTCTTGTCTTACAATCAAGACGGACGCAATATCTCCAACACCGCACAAGCGTGGTAGGCATAGGCTCTTACGAGGCCCAGTGACAACCTTCGATTGACTATGGCGGCGCAGTATGGCAGCTTTCGTAGCGTGAGTCTCGCAGGTGGTGGGTCCCAACATTGAAGTGGGGAGCTGGGATTGGGCTTTGATAGTGTCAAGATCACATATCATGTTCTCTGTGTATGGCTTGGTTGACATGATGTGAGAAGTGTATTACTTCCAGTTTGACAAGCGCAAGCATTCAAAGGGAAGTGTGATCCTATTTATTTATACGCGCAGTGATACGAATTGGTATTATATAGAACCTCAATAACTTTGTCGATAATTTGAATGTTTTTTTGTTTTCTCTGCTCAAAGATAGGAGATCGCAGCTATGATCGACCGCCATAAGACGAGGCTGCCGAGCCACGGTTCCCATCATCCCGCATTAACATGGCGCCCTGAGTCAACTGAGGCCTTGTTTCACACGAATCGACACATGGCCTGACTGCTCAGTATATTGGCTTCTCCATTAACTACCTCAGGATTCTGTTGCCCATAGCAGTACTAAATGCTAAAGGGATGTTATCCTCGAATGACATCTAGATTGTGTATGACCGAAACATTGAGGGTGTGATGCTGTCTGCTTTCAAGCATCAAGCGTTCCGATATGTCAGACCATAGGATACGGCAATTTTTCTGTTGCCTCTATCCCTATCGGTTATTATCGAGCGAGTCTTGTAATTGCTCTGGCTTACTGAGAGGATTACGTTGTCTACAGTAGATTGTTCAACCCACCATCGTACCTGGAGATCCCATATTCCATGGACTGATGGACCTGACGCTTAGTAGATTCTCCATCAACAATTCTGAGTTACATGTCCAACGCGTTGCAATGGCTAGTCATGCTACCAAGGATAGCTAAGAAGAAGGAGGAGCTTCTCAATCATATAGCCGTTCATCATCCGCAGCAGCACACCTCCGGCACTTGGCTTCTGGCTGTGTCTGTGCAGAACAAAAGCCAGACACAGCATGTGTTTCCACTTCTTCCCTCGCTATAATATCTTCGTACCTGCTCAGTAGCAATTGTGTGGCGAGGTGCATCGTGGCCCACTCCCTGGATGAAATGGTGTCGGAAGCTGAGATGTGATCAGATGCCGTTTGTAGGTATTGGATAGTATCGTTTATCATCTTCGTACTGATTTCTGTAGTGCTTAGATGTCTCTTTCGTTGCATCTCTTGCGTTGCCAGTTTTCGTGAGAGGGTTGAGGATTCGGCTGCTCTCTTTTTCCCTTCCAGTGGGGATAGGTCTTGAGTTTCAGCCTTCCTGTCGGTTCGAGGCGATGTAGACTCTCTTGGGCTAGCAATAGTGGTAGCAACAGAGGTAGCTACAGAGTCAAGCAGGGACCGGTCAACGGACGGTTGGAAAATTTGGCTTGCGTTGCCGTGATCCCCGTGGATAAATTGGCCGACGACCCGACGGAAGTTTTCACCCGATTCATTGCCTCCATGAAACAGGTTTGTTAGCCAACCGGATTTCTCGAGAAAGGGGATCTAGAAGGATGATACCAGCTTGCCATGTATGTCCGTTTTGACCTTCTGTGTCTGGGCTAATGGGCCTGTTCGATACCCGTGACAATTTGTAATCCATAATTGCTTGGCTCCTCTAGTACAGGTATTGTAATGACAAGATCTTGTAGGGAAAGAAAAACTTGAGAGAATCGACCATAAGGACAATCATGGCCTTTTAAATGTTGTGGGCAGAAGCGGTCATGTCAACCGTGAAAAGTATATTCACAGTTATCATTTCGCCGGCTAGCCTTATCAGCACCGGCTCCTAGGAGCTCTGTGGATGTCAATATGTTGCCTCAATTGCGGTACATAGACCAACGCGACGATCGGATCAAGGATATCCGTATCCACATGGAGTCCAAGCCACCAATTGATTTGAAGGATATTCCCAGGAGCAACATGGCTGCCAGATCATAGTTGATCATGAATAGGAACGTGTGGAAGGGAGTTGCATTTCGACGCCTCGGCGGTTGTCATTCCCTCATCATTCAGCCGCACCGAAAGCCACAATAAAAGATATGATCGACCGAGAGTCTGTCTTATGGTTCCAGGAGCTTTGGAGCTTTTAGGTTTATCAATAATAAGCCTCTAGTTTCGCGTTGATATGATAAGGTCCGTTGAGCGTTTTCATTCCAGCACCTTTGACTATGTACAAGTAATGAATGGTGTCACAAGTTGATATCAACGTTCATGATGGTACACGTTGAACAACAACAGCATGTGAATCCCCCTCCTCCCCCATGAAATATCTATCTGAGACATGTTGGTTTCATTAATTCAATACTGGGACTTGGTTAAATTTGGTCAGTCAATGGCAAAGGGTAGCTTCCCCGATCACAACTAATTGTGATAATGTGAAAAGACCGAGGCAAATTATGTCAATACCAGCTACGGAAAGACTTCCTTGAGCGAGCCTTTGACCAGCCTTGAAATGGGGTTCACATCTCTGTTTGCCTGTTTAGGAGATGTGGATAGATTATTCACCCCTTTTACATGACAGTAGACCCTGGAACTACCGGGGTGATTCCAGGAGCTGATTTAATTCCGAGATATTGAACTTCTTCGGAACAGGTGTTTAACTGCAAGTGCCCTCATCGAGGAATTGCCTATACATAGTGGCACTACGGCAGTTGGTACTTAAAAGACGCCTGGTGTCGCTCATTATTAGCGGAGTCAATTCTTCAGAAGGCAGCCCTGTGTAAAGAGCACAGAGCACATATAGCCTTACAAGCCCGGAAGGTTTGTTCTACTTCAGCTTTCTACCTCCTACTCTTTACTTGATTTGGCTATTTCCCTGAGCAAGATCCGTCTCACCCTTTTGCAATCGGTAAATCGGTTCTTTCGGACACCAAATGCCTCCGAATACTGCCAGGGCCCTGACTCGGAACCGTTTTGTTATTATCTTCCTCAGCATTACCTCGCTGGCCATTGCCAGTCTCAGTTCTGCCACTGCACACTTTGCGACGGTTCTGCGAGACCGCGCAAAATTCGACCTCGTCACCCCCAGCAACGCTAGTTTGGATATCACATTCCAAAAGCTCATGGAAAACGTCCGCCAGGACATGGTGATTGTGGCCCTCATCTCAACCCTGTTTTCCATTTTCGGGGTTGCCCTTGTAATCCACCCGAAGTGGCAACAAGAAAATTGCTACCTTCGAAATTACTACGGCTTGTTTCAACTCTTCGTCGGCTTAACCGTTCTCTCTATAGGGGCTTATGCTGCCAGCCGCGTGCGTGGTTTTCAAACTTCTTTTTCAATCTTTGACAGTGAGAGCCACTTTCCATACTACAACATCATGTATTATGGAGCCGTTAGCCAGGCCGCTTTCGGGGTTCTAGTGGCCATCGTGTCTCCGGTGCGCTTTGTACGTGACCTGCGCGGCCACTAGCAGAATACGCGCACCGAGCCCACAAAGTAGTGGAAGTGGCGGTTTGGGGGTGTTTCCCAGAGTATAGGAATTATTTGAATGAGAGACAGTGGCAATGGCGACCGTTCCTGATAATCTTTGGAATGATGAGGGAGGCCAGGGGAAGCGGGAGGGTGGGGGCGCGCAGAGTGAAATCCAAATCGATTGAGAAATGCGGCGGATGGAGCCATGCAAATAAATTGATCTTACTACGGAATTGCTAATACCGTTCACAAATTAGATTGCTAGACTGTATTTATTTTTGGTCTGATAAGCCAACCGATCATGGCCAATTTTAGAGCAGTGTCCTCACGTTAACGCTCATCCTGGAATTGCTTGGTGCAAAAGATTATATGTGTAGAGACTTCAAAAACCTGACCCTGGAAACGTGTGAGCCATCCAGGAATTACATAGCCAGGAAATCGTATGTAGCTTGTAGGACTTTAGTTGATATTCCTGTTGACAACTGTATCAGCCATGGGGACCCACACCTTGGTCCTGGAAGTCCTTTGCTCCTGGAGGCTCATATACAGGTTCTGGGAGCACAGAAGCTGATTCTAGGAGCGAAATAGTCCCCAGGAAACCCGACGTAACTTCCGAGGCCTTCCTTTCTTACTAAAGCCGCGGTCCTATTAATAGCTTCATTAACTTCTGGAAACTTAGGCGTAGTTCCTGGTACTATGAATTGACCTTTTGGAAATGATCGAATGACTCAGGTTTGTGCGCAGGTCTGGTGAAGGTGTGTAGTAAGGATTTTTCTTGACCCTCAGAGGCATAAAATTGACTCTAGGTCCCAGAGATAGGGCCCCAGGAGTGCAACAGCTCCCAGATCCGGACGATGTGTCCCCAAAGCCATTTACTATTCATTCAGGAACTGGACTGAAGGTCCCAGGAATAATTTTTGGTTCCTCAGAAATATGAAGGGCCCCCGGAGCTAAGTTGGAGTTCCGAGGGATTAAGCAGCTCCTGTAATTGCTTTTGACGTTTCCAGGGCCAATTCATGGATTCCCAGAGTCCACTCAAAACCGGCAAGAGGAATTGTCAAAGATTACTGTATCCCGCCGACCCCAGAGTTGGGTGTTTTCTCCAATGTCCGTCTTCACACTCAACAAGGCTGCACTTAGCTGAAACGCCAGACAAGGTACCAGCGCGTTGGAACTACCGGGACTCGGTTTCATGCCGCGACACGTTCTAGAAATGAAGCGATACTCCCAATAGCTTTTGGTTCGGGTGTGAGGGTCTCACGTATACATAGAGATGGATATTGTCTCGAGATGAATAATCAATATTAAGAACAACTATAGTTGACTCTAGATACAAGACGTCGCGCGAGGAAGCAAAAGAAAGGTAGCCTCCTCGCGTTTAGGGGGACCCAGATACACTATCTGGGTCCGCCATAACGTTCATCCTCCACTTATCGTATATGCTTCATGTGTGTGCCTGACATCGGGTGAAATTCTACCTGCCAGTTACAAGGTGGAACGGTCGCCTAAGGCTCGGTGGAATTTATATTGATCAGTGTTTCATTTGTTTACAACCATTACTTGTTCCAAACTCCTATCTCACTGGAGTTCTCTACATCACGACTATGCTCTCAATTGATTGCTTTGCATACCCCAATGCCGAGTAGCATCACGAGCGAGTGATTGACGATCGCTTCTCAAAATTCAAGTCCATTTCCATCACGCCTACGCGAAAGCTGCGACCACCTACGCTCGGCGGGAATTCAGTCGTACCGACCGGCGAAGCGATGTAGTGGTAGAAGATTCTCGCGGCAGATGAGCTCCTGCTAGTCTGGCTGAGCGCCGGCGGCTACTATGCTCGACTGATACCCCTGGGGTTCCCACTGACCGCTGACATGGCTGACTCTGACTAGGATCGTTTGGTGATGAAATCCTGGCCGTGTCGAGTTCTCCGTCAGGAGATGGATCAGTTGCCGTCTGGACAGAATGTGTCCCGGCATCCGACGATAGGACTCGGAGTGGGCGAATCAAGGTGTGTAGAGTTCCTTCGTTTCGACTGTAACCATCAGCATCCTGATCGTTGCAGAATTGAGACGACCTATACTTACCAGACACAGCATGACGTGCCGAATCCCACACGGCGCCTTTCCAACCATTCTTCCGCACAGGCTAGGTGAGAAAGCGCTTGGCACTGACCACAACGCAAGATCACGCACTCGTTTGCATGGTCTCCATCCTCGGCCAGGCAAAACACACAGTGGATGTCGTTGACCTCCTCACTCGTACTGAGACTCTGGAGCGTCAAGTTTTGGAAACCGGCCAGGAGATTAGTGGCCGACAACAAAATAGCTGGTCGAGCCGGCGACACTTGCCACGGAACATTGTTCGTTCGCAGCATTGCAGCAGTGACAAAGGAATTGATTGACTGCACTGGCTCGGAGCTATCTGACGGGGGAACCAGCGAGTCTTGTCTGATCCCGCGACGAGGGGCCGACCGGTCAGTGTTGCCTGATTCCGCTAGGCGTCGCCTGGAGGTTGACGATATAT